CTCTCCCAGGGCCTCCATCTTATTTGCTTCCTACTATGAACCCTGCTGATACTATGGTTCTTAGGGTGCGCTTTTTTCCTCTTCAATAAAGTGAGTTGGACTAACCGACCTCAAAGGTCCCTTCCCTTCCACTTCTAATTCTAGGATCCCAACTCTGGTTCTCTCTGATACATACTGGCTGTGTGATGTGGGCAAGTCACTTAAATTCTTAGCAACCAGTACAAGTCTCCAAAAACTAAAGTGAAAAACAGTTGCCAATCTGGATTGACAGAAAGTAGCACTAATTATGGAGTCATGAAGGACTTGGGTTCAAATCCTGCTTCTGATACCTACCTGTGTTATCTTGAGTAACAACTTCCCCAGGCCTCACATTTTTCTCATCTGTAAAATGAGGGGTGGGAGTGGGGGGAGAGGTAGAGAAAGGCAATGTAAATTGGAGTTCCCTTCCAATTATAGATGAATGATCCTAGGAAATTACAAGTTTAGACAGATAAAACTTCTACATTATACAGTCTCAGCCATTGCCCCTTCAAATATGAAAAGCTGTATACCTAACTTGAGGATTAAATCACCCATAATTTTTTGAGGAAAATGTTTTCCCCCATATAGTAATGCTCTTGTTTAAAAAATCTAAATCAAAACTAAGTAACTGAGACTGACTTGCGTGGTTTTTAACAAGGGCAACATTGTTAGAAGTATATAGCCAGTAGAAGTGGCTTAAAGGGCATACTTACATAAATTCAAATATTTCTGTTTAAAATCATTACTTTAGAGTCCCACTTCATTTATAAAACAGGGAGTCAGTGGAGAAAAAAGAACACAAAAGAGTATTTAAAATTACGTTCTCTAAAATGTCTGCAGGCTGTTGCCACAGATCCATTATTACTAGACATAGAACCATGAGGATAATGGTAGTCACCCCTTTATCTTGTTTATCTTAAATGTATCTAATTTATACATAGATTTTGCATGATGTCTCCTTCAGACAGTGAGAGCCTTAGGAGCAGGGACTCCCCCCCTCCTTTCTTTGAATCCCTAGTGCTTATTAGTATAGTGCCTGGCACATAGTAGGCACTTAATGTTTGATTAAGACATTTTATCTCCCCTTGAGTCTAGCATGAGCTTTGCACATTGTAGCTTAATGTTTGTTAATGAGATACTGAAGAATACTCTTATTCTGATTGTAGTCATCAAAAGGGATTTAAGCTTGTAATTCCTTTCCACTTATTTTATCCATTTGTACCTGCAATGCCTAGTTAGCTGAAATTAGCGTACTCATAACTCAGAATCCCACCTAGTAGCAAAAGCTTCTTAAGTCAAAATGAAGTAATTTGGTGAATAGAATTTAGGGTGAGTTACACTTACTCGCTTCAGGATGCTATGGCAAAAGGGCATGTTTGTCTCTTGGGAATGCATGCAATCCGTTTATTGTATTTATCAAATGTAATCACATTCGACTGTATTTTATGTAAAAAAGATCTGAGCAGAACATACTTATTAAAATTAGTTATTTATGCTACCAAACCATGGTAGGAGAAAGGGTTGATAGTAAGGAAAATTACTGTGGTAAGAGAATTTCTGGCTTAATTTTGCAATTAATTTAGAGATAAGCACCTCAAGTAATTAGTCTGCAAAACAGAGTTTATCAGTTACAGGTCCTCTCTCAATCCTGTTTCCTGTTTTATCTGTTCTTTGATCTGCAAATCATTGTCTTTCCTCGTTTGCTTTTTGGGAATTCCATTGTACTCATCCTGTTTACATAACTAAAACCTATGTAATGTAGCTTAAAACTGATGCTGGTCTCTGGGGAAGAAAAAAAACTGATGCTGGGATCTCACTGATCCATTTTGTATATATGATCAGTGCAGCCTGGGCTCTGAATATAATGAACTGCAGTCCCTGTCTCCATGGTTATCATACGATTGGAAGCAGTCCCTGATCAATGGACCTTAGGACAACTTTTGTCACAGATGAAAAACTAAAAAAACAAATTTTTTTTTTTTAAGCTTTAACTGCTGTCAACAACTATTTTGTTCAAGGCCCCTACTTCTTTCCTTTTACCACTGTGAATTCTCCATTCTGATCAGTGTTGCTCCAAGCACTAGTTTTAAGGGGGCAGATGAGTAATTTTAAGTTCAAACCCTTTAAAAACCTTTAGCTCTATTATTTTGGTATTCCAAACTGAATTTGTCAGAATTTAATTTTTAATCACTTTGGACTCTACTCCCTCAACCTTATACGTTAAAATTTACTTTAACTACGTATTTGTAAATACAATTCCCCAAATTGATTTTGGGTAGTTGTACTTCAGAAATATCCTAGTAAATTTGCAGTAAAGAATCAGAAGTCCTGAATAAAAAAAAAAAAAACACCCCCACTTCAGGAAAATCCCTTTGCCTTTCTGAGCCAATCCCCTTATCTGTAAAATGAAGGGGTAAGGTGGGGGCCAGAGTTGAATTAAATGGTCTCCAAGGTTCCTTCCAGCTCTAAATGTTTCCTTAGCCTCAGGACCCACATTCATAATATTTCAAGGGATATTTCTAGTCATACATTTTGTTGAGGACTTTACTAAATTTAAACTGTAGGAAAAAATTTAGATTAATTTACTTGACCTTATAAACAGAGAGTATCACTTTCTGTAAATAGTATGAATTTGAAGCCACCAATGGCAAATCAATTCATCCCCCTCCCATGTCTACCTTTAAAAATTTATCTCAGATGAAGGTCGGAGGAAATTTTCTTTACCTCCTCAAACCACTCTAAAAGTCATCCAGTTTGAGTCAGCAGTGTTATCTCTTCCTTCCTACAGTCTTTTTTTTTTTTTTAACTTACTGATTTTAGGTCTTTATTTTGCTAAATAGGACGAACACTTGTCTAGAATGTTAAAGACTGGATAGTCTCTTTCCAATTCTAAGGTAATGGGTCCCCACCAACTTTGAAGTTAAAACAGAAACTCTGAAATTAAATACTTTATAGTTAAACCTAAGCTCCATTGTTTAAAGTATTTAACATGCACTTTAATATTGTATGGAACCCTTCAAATTCATAGCCTGATTGAGATTAATTCAACCTCTTTGCCTTTCCTATTGTAATAAATTGTGAGCTACTTCCACAAAGTCACTAAATGTCATACAGACCAGGTGACTGAAGGAATAATCCCCAGAAATGAAGGACACCTTTAAAGATATCATCACTTTAATATTGCTTGGGAAGTGGTAGTAGATAGATCATGAATTGGAGGATGATCTAACCCAAGTCACTCTATCAGTGATTTTTACAATGTGAACCAGGTTTATAGAATCAGGGTGTGGTCTCATCCCTTCCTTTTATCAATTTTTAGTAGTTTGAGTGCCCACCAAAAAAAAAAAAGAGTAATGTAATTTACATTCTCAATGATTCCAAGCAACTCAGTTTTGGTATTAACTTTAGTACTAAGGTATAACACAAAATAAGAACTATAAGCATATACATGGCATACTACCAATTTACTAAGCAGAACTTGATTACTGAAAAAAAGTACACTAGAATCTTCCCATAAACACCAGGCATACTCCACATTTCTACCTTCTCTCCTACCCCGTGCAAAGCACTTTTTATATGTCAGGCAACCAAACCTACCACACAGACATCAATTTAAGCCTCCCAAGTAAAATGAAGCTCTTAAGAAAACATCTATTCATTACAAAATTAAAATCACTTAATGACACACAAACATTGTGATTCACTTGATCAAAAGCACAAATCATTAAATATAACTGTTAGTACTCTAAAGCTTGAGAGAAAAGTGGTCAACTTACCTGAGTAAAAATATCAATTTTCATTTAATTTAAAACTGATTGACAAATTTTAATAATTCTAAGTACCATACAATAATCCATAATTTGCTTCAGTTTATGAAACTGACTCCCCTGATTATCAACAGAAAATTTCAGTTTATATTTGAAGTGCCTAAATTGATACAGATTACTTTGTAAATGATCAGTTATTTTTATCAACTTTAAATTACCCCAAGACAACTCAAAATATAAAGCATTGCCAACTGAACATTTTAGCTTCAGGTTTAGTCTTCTATAAATTGCCATACAAACATGAACGTGGACCTCTCTGACAATAAAGGTAAACTATGTTTTCTTTAAAAAGTAGCAATTTCAGGGGCAGCTAGGTGGCACAGTAGATAGGTCCTCCTGACCCCACGGCTGGTGCTTCCTAGCTGTGTGACCCTGACAAATTACTACACTCAATTGTCTCACCCCACCCCCAAAAAGTAGTAATTTCTAGGATCAATTTTTACCCTAAAGCTTAATTTTAGAATGTGATAACCAAATTCCAATCATCACTTTCCTACATATTTGTATTATATGCTGGATTAATTTCAAGTATTTATACACAAATCACACTGAGGGAATATGCCCTGATAAAACAACCCAGTTACACTAACAACCCTCCTAAAACAAGTACATCTAATTTTGGTTTACAACGATGTGCAACCATACTTCTGCAACTTGATGCCCATTTTTCATATTGCAGACGACTTGTGCTTCATTTCACAATCACTGAATGCTTCCTTTGTGCAAGACAGATACAGGCAGCCTTCAAGCTTAGTACTTCGTAAAAGGTTTATTTCACCATAATTTTAAAAGGCTAAAATGATAGTAATGCCTCAATTTAAAAAAAACACATATGCACCCATTTCATTATCCTTGGATAAGAGTTTTGTTCACATGAATGAAAAAAACAAAACACTACTTTGCTGGTTTCTTTTACCCCAATACTAAAGGGGGGAAAAAGGCTTCAAACAATTCACATCTTGGTAACAGAAATTAAAATAAAAGGAAAAAGTTTCATCTGGTCAAATGTTCAGGTAACGTAGAAAATATCAATCTTCAAAATGGATGATGCCAAACAACAAAAGTGCCCCATTCCAGAATAGCCATAATTTATAAACACAAAATGAGGAGGGGGGCCCTCAAATCTTCCATTAAAAATCAGAGTGCAACATCTATATTTAAACAACTTTATTAACAGTCAAGCAGTGATTAACATTCACATCTATTATGTCACATCATACAAATGTAAATACAAAATTACTACAGTACAATATATATTCTCTGCATGATCCAAAATATTTGGTGGCCCCAAAAAACTTTCTTTAAAATTCAGCAGCTTATCAAAAATTAAAACCATATTCTATTTAAAATGAAGTTCTGTTAGCACAGAGTCAGACTTCAAGGTATATCAATTTAAAGGTATATCAATTTAGTACAGCTTGAGAAATTGCAGGAGGATGTTTGAAGGAAACATTCTAACATTGTGTGGCAGATACAAGAAACATTAGATTTAAAGCTTTTAAGCATAACTCATACAACCTAAGTTGTCAGCAGAAAGATCCAGTTGTTTTTCACTAATGCTAAACTACTAAATTATTGCACCTAATGTTAACAAAGTATTAAATTGAAAAACTTTTAATATTAGTTAATTTACAATATTTAAACTTATTTATCCTTGCAAATGACAATCTATTTAGGACAATCTATTTAAATTTAAGTAGTGCCAAGTAAACCTAATTACACAGTACTTTCTTATCGCTGCTTTCATAAAATTATCTACACCCTTAGTTTGGTTATATGCTCAGAGGAAAAACAAGAAGTATGGTGAAAGTACAGTGGTACCCCTTTATAATGCTGGTATTGGGGAGAGGGGGCGCCAATACTGACACCTAACTTTAAAAGCTGTGTAATCACTTTTACCATGTCATGTTCTTTCTTGGTATGTGATCCGAGTTAATCTCTAAAATTATAGAATACCTAGACATGGCATAATGGGATTTTACTGTAAGTCAACTAAACTGGCATAATAATTTTTTTCTTAAAGTAAACAACTGTTTTGCCTAACCAGTGATACAGTGCTTGGCAAACAGATTTGGCTAGGTTATTAAAAAAAAAAAAAAAAAAAAAAAAGCACACTGGAAAATTTTCTAACTTCCTTCAAATCATGCATACATTCTGCTAGTTAAGCATTCATTTAAAAAAATTCACAATAACTGTGGTGGATGCAAACCACAATAAATGACAATTTATCATAAAATCAATTATTCTAACAATTACACCTAGAGATTAATAATTAGCACATATAAATATCAATTGGGGAAAGCCTATATAATACAAAGCAAAAAAAACACAAAAACTCCACCAAATTATCAGAAAGCATACAGGTGAATAAGATTACCCTTCAGCAATGTTGTATCTTTTTCTTAAGTGGCATCAGAGATGTCTCAATATGTAATGACTATCTGTATGCAAACTAAATTGGTGTCCAACTAAACAATACTAGGTGGTATTCTTAGTAGTTAACTGTAAGTAACTCTCTGGAGATTTAAACTACCACAAGTCCCTTAGTAGATACTCTGCAAACCTTGTAAGGTTCTTAAAGATTTCACTGCCTACATTTCAATAATAGTACTAATGAGCAGTTGTTAATATTCATTTAAGTTGTTCCTAGTATTTTATTAGCAATAAACTTAATATGCAGTGCTGTATCTAAAGTATTTTATTTAAAGGACTTAAGTTGAAATTATGCATGATACATCCTTCCCTTGAGAAGAATGCTTTTGCACCGTTATGTTAATACATTCAATATGAATAAGATATATTACCTATATGAAACCAATTTTTCCCCATCATAAAAGGCTATATTTGAAATAATTATAGTGTAAATTTAATCAGCCCAATTATCCCATTTCAGCTATGCAGGGTGCTAAATAATATGTCTTCTGAATAACTTCAGGGGAGAAAATCTTCCATTTGCCTATTCCTGAATGTGTAGCTAGGGGGTGATTGAGGAGGGGGAGCCAAATCCTCCCATCTCGAGGTAAACCTGTAGGTAGTTCCCCTATAAAGGTTTTACACAACCCCAGGCGCTAATAACTGGGTAGGAAAATTGGGCTAAATAGGAAGTTCCTCTACGAAATACATAAAGAACATGTATAATGAGTTTAACAAGCATGTGCCCCCCAAACAAAAAAGGGTACAAGAATTTATTCACCTGAGATAAAACTGGTATCTGAATATTTCATAACTGAGTATGCAAAGAGTTTTAATTAAGGAAAGCCAGTTGAAATTTTAGAATATACATTTGATTCTATTTTACAGTATATGTAATTTACTTCAGAACAATGCAAAAAGAGTCTTAACAAAAAAATATCACAGTGTCTATCAATGTTAATTACAAAATGAATGCTACTTGACTTTTTCTTTTAAAGATGCAATGGCTTAACTAAGCTTTTTAGTTTCCACTCTTAAATGATGTGTCTTACGTGTCCATCAAAACCAAGTAGCAATAATCTAAAGCATCAGAACTGGCTCTTAAAGGATTATTATTTACACATTGATTATTTTGAAAATAACCAACTAGAAAATGTACAAAATGATTTTTACACAGTATGAAGTCATTAGAGATTAGACAATATGAAAAGCAGACTAATTTCCTGAATACATAAAAGAAAACCTGTGGCATTAAGTTCATGTACTATTATAATTTTTACTTGGAACTGCCAAAAGATGCATTTAAATGATATTAAATACACTTTCTGTTACCAACTTAGGTTGATCAGCAGCTTTTGTTCACTGTTAGAATCCTTCAAAGAGGGAAGCTCAAACAGGAAAAAAGAAGGCATATATATAGAACAGTAAACACTGACCTCCTGAGGTTCCTACAACATAAAAATATTCAAGTAGAAAATCTACGTCACTTAGCAGCGGCTATTTCTGTAGTTGAGCACACTAACAGCACTTTATTCAGTGTGTAAGGAGCAGATGAAGTAAGCCGTGCTTTTAGCATGCCAAGAGGCAGAAACACTGGAATGTAACAAAGACAAACTCACAATTCCATGAACATTCAGTCAACATTCAAAAACTGTCAAGACTACACCACAAGAAGATGCTTTATATATCCCATGATGCAATAATTTGAATCACAACTATTAATGCTGAATCAGAATGGATCTTACTTAAAACTAAAACTTAAATGGCTTCTGCAAATCTCTGTTATACTATGTATTAGAAATATGGTTTAATTATGTACTAGTAAAAGGACCCCCTCAAGAGAATGTTTCAGTCTCAAATAATGGTAGTCCTATTTAAGCATTTTAAAAAAATTTTTTTTAAAGTATTCTCTTCCTACTTCTGAGGCCAGATTGATAGCCCTTAATGGGCATAATTCTAAATATCCCTGTAAATATGGTAAACACTTGCAAAACTGCATCTATGGTCTAATCTAACACGGACAGTGTTGCTTTAAATCAACACATAGTTGTCACAAAGAAACAGGACCAAATAACACTGAATTATGTATCTATATATAGATATATATGTGCACAGATCTATATATAGATATATGAGAGATTGCTTTTAGCTTTTATGTTTGGAGTGAATTTTTGTCATTTTCCTCTGAAATACTTAACCAATACCTATCTTACAAAAATATTAAAGTTTGTATCCAAGCTGTTTCCCTTACCAAACTTTTAATAGTAATTTGTAACACTTAGGTTATCATTTAATAAAATAGTGACCCAATTTAGAAGGCTGAGAGATTAACTAGGAAGCAAAATTTAAGAGCTCTGAATGAAGCAATGGAATTTGAAAGCAAAAATGCAATGTGCCCTTTTGATCTAACTCAAAATTAAAACAAATAAGGTGCTCCATCTGGCATTACTGAATTTACTTCATTCAGTTTACGCACCACAACTCCAAGAGCACATCATTTACTGAAATTTGCAAAGCCAAGGGGAAGTGGGCAGAGGGAGGGGAAAGGAATGTGTAAAAATTTTGCTGCATGCTACCATGCACTTGAAATGATTTTGAAACAGCATTTATAAATTCACGCACACAGCTCAAAACTTCAGTGCAATGGCTGTATCATTCAATACCCTTAAAGAATAGAACCATGCAAAGAGGAGCAATTTCTTATAAAAACTGTTATCCAGTATTCATTCTACAATGCAAAAGTGAGAAACTAAAAATACAAAAAGGCTGTTATGGCTTAACATTTTTGTTGCAGATTAATTATGCAGCATTTGAAAAATGGAAAGGTGTGGCTTCACCTCTGACCAGCAGAGTTAAAAGAAATCTCTCCATTTTCCTTCATCATCATGGGATACACTGTTCAGGCAATCTAAATTAATAAAGACTTGCACTTTCATGTGGACACAAGATCAAGTGTACCAGTTAGATTTTCACATTCACAGTATATAAGAAAATACACATGGAAGGAAAAGTAAAGGGTTAACTTAACAAGGATTTATTCACAGGAATACATGTAAGTAGAGAAAACAACAGAAAAGCTAAACAAATGAAATGAAGAGGATCCAAACCATCTTTCACTCTGTCGCTTTTAACTTGCCCCTTGTGCATGTGTCTAGGGCACAGAGGGCCACCAACATGCGCCATACAGTGCAGGGACCCTGCGTTACATCCATAACTTAAACATCTCTTTAAGATCATGCTTTGAACAAAAAAGAAAGCTTAGAAGGTATATGTTGAGTGGGAATAAACACTGAAATATAGCAATCATGTCATCAACTTCTACAATTGTCTTGACGTGCCAACTAACATTTATGCAGCCTTTACAGATCTTTTACCATGAAACTTTGTTTTAGAAGTTTTGATAAAATCACTAGTAGTATATAACCATGCAGAAAGCACATCACACTGACAGCACAGAGGCAAAGGTTTTGCACAGGTATATCAGCTTTCCACATTGTGCAGGTTACACACAATACAATATCAATCTTATTCCTAACAGATCCTAAAAAGATATTTCAAGGCCTAACTGTAAACTACAGTACTTTATATCTATAGTCTTAATAAAAATAAAATCCACAGAATCTTAAAGGAATTTTAAATGCAGGGCTATATTGAATTGGTAAACTGCAACACAAACTGGCGCAACATAGGTAAATGAATACCAATCTCACTCTAAGTGATACAAGCATGCTACTTTCCCACTAATTTAAATTACTGTCAATCACTATGAGCCAGAATGCATGCCTGAACCTTAAACTGCACATTAATAATGCCTTGGTCTAAAAATTAAATCTAATGAAGTACAACCGTCAAATTATATTCACTACTTAATGTTTTAAATGTAAAATTAAGATGTCAATCTTTAGTTTGATATGCCCTCCCCCATTTCTCCCACCCCCATTCCCCAAAAGGTGAAAGGAGTGACTCATTTGGCATTTCACAGGGCGCTTCATTTTGTTTTAATTTGTCTTGTTTTATTTCCAACTTCTTTTGGGGTACCTAAATTGTAACTCACAGGAACCTGCCTCTACTATGGGTAGCAAGCTCCATTTTAACTGTACTAACTTCATTTGTGTAGTTCTTCATTAACATGCAAATAACTAGAAATCCCATCAACTGGGAAAATTATGTAGAAAACCCTTATATTAAATTAAAAAAATAAAAAAAAAGCCTCTTTACTGTTTGTAACCCCCATTCTTAGGTTTCCTTTATTGTGCGCTAAAGAATTTTTCCTCTCTTTCTTATCCCTATGGTTCAATTATATGGTTCTTGTTTTGGTACAATTCCCCATAATATTTCAGAATGTGCTGTTTTGTGAATAGATTCTCTTTTTTTGCTTCTTCACATCCAGTGCGGAGTTGTAATAGGAGACAGATTTCCACCCACAAAGGCTCCAGATGTTAAAACGTTTCCCAACATCGACTTAATACAGTGACGGCAACACCTCCCTCCCGCCCCTCCCAGTAGGGTTGGGATTGTACTGTATTCCCTACTGGTTTACCCTTCCCCCCTGTAAAGGGTAACATTTTCCCTGGGTGCAGAGGCTCCCTCATAGTCTCCCAAGACTGAAGGACCTGTAAGAAAACAGAAATTTTCTTTTACTGAATAGGTAACATACACTGGTATTAAAATCACAACTTCCTTTACCTGTTTAATGTCTCCTCCCTCTCCTCCTCCATTACAAATAAATAAGATTTTTTAAAAGAAAGAATTACTACACCCACATCCCATGAATGATTTTAAGTGTATTTCATTCAAAGACTAAACAAGTTAATGACGTAGTAGCTAGACCCCATTCGCAAGTAAGACAATGAGCATAATTCCCCCCAATACTTAGGAAAATTAATAATGTTGCTTTCCTTTGCCTTTGGCTATTTTTCATCTGAAGCAGGTGTAAAAATCAGTAGGAAGAGAACTGCCCAATGGAGGCACAATGCACTATATTAAATGAACTTTGTGACACATTCTGAAAGTTAATGAATACACTGTTTTATATAGGCACAAACAGAGCAATCACCCATTACTGGTAAAAACTAAACTAAAATATCACTTCTTTTAGGGCAGAGTGTTTACCATTTTAAAAATTATAACCCCTTTGGCAGTCTGATGAAACCTATGGACCCCTTTATCAGAATAATGTTTTATTACAAAGGAAACCAATTATATTGAAATATAGTTAGCCATCCCAGTTCTAGGGTGTCCTGAGGTGAATCAAATATTACTGTCTCCACCATCTGCCCTCCACTGGATTTGGTAGTCTTATTTCCTAACTTGGATGGCAACCAATGCTCTCACCTAGCACTTAGTATGCTAAACAAAGCAAATATCAAGTGAATCTTTATATCAACTTTTTCCAATATTCTCACAACTCTACTTCCATCCTGCTGCATTTCAAAGTAATGGGCTATTTTGTTTTGTTTTTTTAAACACATTTTATGAATCTTTGCAGGATTCAAAAACAAAGAAAAAACGGAAAATATTTTTATGTGGTCTTAGAATCAAAAAAGGCAGTATCTCACAACTAGCATCTGTACCAAAAAAGGCTTATTTTAGTTTGAGGGAAAGACTTTGATTCTAGTTCTGACAACCTCATAGAATGTTGTAAAATTCAAGTGAGATAACAGATGTGAAAACACAATGACAAATGTAAACTAAATGCACACAACATAGTGGTCCCTTGAGAATAAAGATAAGCCATTACACTTAATACATAAAAGGCACATGCTGCTATTCAGTTAAACACCACACACACCCACACACACACACTCTCTCTCACCACTGGATAAGTGGGGAAATAAAACTGTATACCCTTCAAAAAAGAAAAACAGTGGCACACCTAGTCTCAGCACACTATTTAACAACTTTGTATTTATTCTGCATGTACATATATAGGAACACAATTATTTCCTCCAATAGAATTTAAGCTCCCTAAGAACAGGGACTGTCTTAATCTTTCTATTTGTATGCCCAGCACCTAACAAGGTACTTGACGCATACATAATAGGCCCGTAAATGCTTGCTGATTCATGTCTGAACATGGTTATCACTATGCTTAATTTAGAATTGCTGGCAAAATGAGACAGATGATGTACTAAAGCCTTCTATGTTATATTAATAGGTGCTGAATGTGGAAATAGCCAAGATGTCCATATTCTAATACTTGAGTGCTGGGAGGTCAATACTACCCCTACTAACTGCCATCCCATTCCATGAGTTACACAGAATTCAGCACACTCCTATCTGTGCCTTCCTGCCTAGACATCTCAACACATCTCAGCACTTTTCCAAGTCCTCACATCTAAAAGATTGTGAGATCTCAAGGAACTGCTATAACTGGGCCTAGAGGCAGCAATTAGGCTTTTCTCATCACATTTTTGACAACTACAACACAAGGGCACTATGTCTTGCCTAAACATCTAGATGACAGACATAGCTGAAACTCTTGCAGGGTAAATACACAAACAACTCAACACAAAACTGAGGACAATTCAATCACAAGGTGAACTTTGTCCATGAGGTTTGCTCTGAAGCTTCCTAGAGGCTGCTGGGTGACTCCATAGTGCAGAGTGCTAGGCATGCAGTCATTAGCATCGAGTTCAAACACCACCTCAGACACTGTGTGAACCTGGCCAAGTTCCTTAACCTATCTGCCTCAGTTTCCTCAACTGTAAAATGGGGATGATAACAACATTGGTATCACCAGGTTATGACTGAATTACACACACAGAGCACAGGGCCTAGAACACAGTAGGAGCTTAATAAATACTTACCCCCCCCCCCAAGTCCATGACTTCTCAACTAATTCTAGACCTACAGATATTAAGTTAGAAGTAAGACCTTTCTAATTGACCCTGTGGAAAAAGGTAAATTCAATTTTTAGAATAGTATTAGGCATGTTATCTCATATAAACTGATGCTAGACTACTGCAGATTTGGGACTAGTAATTATGGTGGATTCATTCTCATCCCGAGCTAGAAAAGCAATGTCAACTCTTAGCATCAGGATTGGTAGCCCCAGGAAATTTAGCTGCTGGGCAAAAGAAAAGGATGCTCATTTCATTTCTTAGGTATGGGAACTCAAGCAAAAAAGCTTTATGAGCAGCCAATAATCAAGCAGAAACTAAATATCATCCACTTCAATGTCTTTATTATCCACTAGAGAATTAAAAAAAAAGTTCAGAGGATTACAGAGCTGAAAAAGGACCTTAAAAAGGAAACAAGCATTTATTAAGCACCTATGTGCCAGGTGCAGTGCTAAGCATGTTACAAATATCTCATTTGAGCCTCACAGCAACTGTGGGAGGTAGATACTATTGTTACCTTCTTTACAGATGAAAAAACTGAGGCAGTTTTTTGTGTGCCCAAGGTCATACAGCTAGTAAATGTCTGAGGCCAATATTTGAACTGTCTTCCTGACCCAGGCTAGCACTCTGTACCTCCAGGGGCCCCTTAGCATATTATCTAGTCTAAAACCCTTATTTTACAGATGAAGGAACTGAGGCCCAGAAAGATTAAGTGACTTAGCCACGGTCAAAAAGACAATCAAGCGACAGAGTAACAACTCAACCTCAGGTCCTGACTTCAAAGTCACTGCTCTTTCATTAGACCATACTACTTTCCTACCTCAGTGCTACTTAAACCTTGGCTTAGTTCCTATTGGAAAGTTCAAACAGGGCTATGTCTAATCAAGGGCAGAGCAAATCTCTCATTAAGGGTCCACATCTACTCTTTTAAGCCTGTGAGGAGTATATTTTGTGCTTCAAAAGTGTGCCCGTGCCATTAAAATGACTGCTAGAGACTTTTCTACACTTATGTTAATTTGGTTAAATATTTATTCTCCTGAAAAACAGACTAAGTATGATTCATGTCTTTCATAATTTAAAATCTTGAGAAACACTGCATTCAACTTTGTATGACTGTATTCTTATCTCATGAAACACTCCTTTTAGGAACTTACCCCTAATCATGGGACTGCAGCCTAAGTGCATGAGATTAAACTCCATAGTAAGCTGCAAGACGCTCTTTTAAAGGAAGAGGAAACTGGTCAGAGAAACGCCTCCAATTTTCATCCCCAACTTGATTTTTAAATCCATGAAGGATCTGTGAAGGCAAAAGCACATTTCAATTTGTCAGTTTCTAAAGGTCAACACTACTTATTTAAAAATTTTTTTTAACTAATTAAAGAATAATTTTCTCCTAACTTTTTGAAGTTGTGACACTGCTTGACTTCATTACAATTTCTTTTTTTTTTCCCCCAGAGTGAAATTTTAAAATTCTATTTGCTTTGAGAATTGAGACACTATTTCATGATAAATATACTTATTTTGAAGTGCAATAAGAACAGGGCTGGAAATTACATTATAAAGATGCCCCTTTTAATGGCATACTAGATAGTCTCTCCTCAACAGTGGAACGCATTCATGACTCCTACCTTTAAAGCTGCTCCAACACAAAATCTGTTTAAGCAGTGCAAGTTAATTTACTTGGACAAAGCTTCCAAGAAATACTTAGAAGAAATGATACAGTTTTTTCACATTAAAAAAATACACATAATTTGACTACAACTAGATTTCAATAATTTTAATATTATTTAGGCGGCTCTATTGGCCAATAGCATTTACTTTTCAATTATTCAAAGCCAAGGAAATCTTTTGGTTAGAAAATAATTAAAAGCCACCACCCACGTGTGAGGCTAAAAATTTTGCTATTTAAATATTATAGATGATTTCTGGAATCATAAACTAGCTATTTTGAAAAATATGTTTTGTAATGAACAGAATGGATAAAAGAATCTAAGAGCCACAACTACCAAAAAAATCAACTTAAATGTGTCATCTGATGATTGATAGTGCATACATAAAATATAATTAATGCCATAATTCCAACTTATTTTGTACTAAGGGTAATTGTTTTCCACAATAAAAGAAAATAGAAATAGGAATATCCTAACACTCTAATAGGAAAACAAATGTAGAAGCAAAAGGTGAAACCCAAAACCAAATACATTAAGATCTGAAGGAATAATACTTTTAAAACAAAGCTATAGTTAGTTACCTTACAGAACATGTCTCTGAGATCATCTTTTGGACTAATCCATGATGCAACAGCATCACAAAAAAATATAAAATCCTGTAATGTGAAATGATGAAATATCATCAGGACCCAAAATCATATTTCCATTTAAAGTATCAATATGACATAAAAAATCTAAATTAAATCCACTTTACAATAAAAAGTAAAGAAATAGACGTTAAACAGCGTTAAAGTCTCACTCTGTAAGCCCCTCCAGCTTTTGTGTACTATACCCCTCCCATTTTTCACACTGTCAGAATTGACTGTGCCCTCCTACTTTTGCCCCACTTTGTATCATTCCAGCTAGATTTTTCCACACAAGCATTGTAAGCTTTTAAAAAATTACTCTATGGTACATGCCACTGCACTGATGTAAAAGTTAACTTAGCTATTTCCTAGGTTTCTAGCTTTTGGCTAGATAGCATCTTCATACAAAGATTCTCTTTACAAGATGTCTAATAAAGGCCCAATATGTAAAATGTGCTGAAAATACCAAAAAAAAAAAAAAAAAAAAAAGAAAGAAAAAAATTTGCTGCCTTCAGTTAAGGGTTACCAACAAAAAAGTTTCCTTTTTATCATTCCAATTTATTCTGACACTCATCTTCAACATTTTCCCTCCAAGTCTGTTTCCTTTTTATATTTTACCTTTAATATTTTGTGTTAAATGTTTATCTTTTTATACAAGTTAGCCCCTAAACCACTGTCACTGCTTCTGATTCGCAAATTCATCCCCTTTTGTACATTAGGAACAAATCCTGAAACTTTTTTCCTATGTACTCTCTCCACAGTTGTAGAGAAAGAGATATAACTCATACCATAGAATCATGGCACTATACTACAGAGCCTGATTTAGTTTTTCTTCTCATTTTTACCTTGGCTCATTCAAAATGAATTTACTCACATTATCTTAGAAAAAAGTGCCAGACCACATTGGTTTGGCAATATAATGCTTTGTTTTCCTCTCTCAACCTACTTTAAATTCAACAAAATCTAAAATTCCTAAAAATTAAATCCCTAAGAGTCTTAGCTAGTGCTAAAAATCAGGCAGATCCATTAGGAATTAGAACTAAAATCTTTAGTAGCTATTAAAATGACAAATGGGGTCACTACTGATTTAGCTTGGCTTTGAAACCATGGAGAGAAAGTGTGATAGTGAATGAAATGTTGAACTCAGGAAGACCTGAGTCTGAATCCTTCCTCTGATGGTAGCTTTGTAATTAAGGGCAAATCCTTTAACGTAAATCCTCAGTTTCCTCACTTGTAAAGTGATAAAGGATGTCTGTAGTAGTATCTATCTCATAAGGTTATTGAGATCAAACAAGATCAACTGGTAATGCACTCTGTAAACCTAGAAGCACCCTATGTTATTTACTATTTTCATTTCTAAATGATGGTCCATAAAATATACAGCAAAATCCCAACATTAAAAACTGGACAACTATTTGTAATTTTCATTAAATGGACCTATAAAGTAGTAATATGCTCCCTGGAAGGTAGGAACTATTTATTTGTAACAATTGTATATGTAGCACAATATACAGCACATAGGAGGCATGGGAATAAGTAATTTGTTGATTAATATGAATGCAAAAATAAATCCCAATGTGATTTCAAATATTAAAAAGAGATACTGCAGTTTGTTATGAAATCATAACAAAGTCCTTTTGTAAAACTTTCAATTAGTATAAAAATTCTTTGAAACCAGTTCAATATGCTGATGGGCTTGATATGAAGTTAAAAAATTAACACTTGAAATGAGTTTTATGATATAGAAAAAAAATATTCCAGGGATGGCCATTTATTCAGAGACAAGAGGGTAGGTCACCAATCTAAAAATCAGTAGGTTCTTTTGACTATAAGAAAATAGAGGGGGGAAAAAACACCACTATGATATTTCACAAAAAGGAAAAATTACCATCCCCCATCAATATGAGTTATCTGCCAATGTACTGATCAGATCAGAACAGAACACAAAAAGGTATTTAAAATTCAAGATAAACGTTAAATTTGTATATAACTCCCCTGCTATTCATTTCTTAAACTCCTTTCCTATCAGTGAACACTTTAAAATTCAACCATCAAATTTATAAGAACATTTTCCTCATAATTTAGTAACACTGAGTATTATAACTTCAGATATGAAAACCCACAAAAAATGACATTAAACATTTAAATAATTCAGGCAAATTTCAGAAATTTTAAATTTTCTAATTTGTATTAATACCTGTATTATATATGTTATAGATCAATTAAGTGATATCATAATTGGAGAAACAATGATTTTTAAATTATAAAGGCAAATGAAATAAAACCTAACTTCAAATACATAGTAGGACCTATCATTATTACAACTTTTGCGCATATGATTTCTTAGTTAATTCAAAGATCTTAATTTTATTGGCATGGGTACTCCACAAAGACAGACTTTAAAACTTAAGATGATCTTCAAGAGTCACTGTAGTTGAAAAAAATTCATCAAGCTTACAACCAACCTGGTAATGAATCTCTCTGAAATTAGCCATGAATGAATAAAATGAAATTGGTCATTACACAATAGACAAACAGTTTGCTGGAACAAAAGCTTCCATTAAAGGTCTGGTATTGAACCCCATTGCTGTAACTTTCTAGAATTCAAGGTTATTAGCCCCACGGCACAGTGAAGCACCTGAATATAATTTTAGTCTGATGTATTTTTGTCTTTTTTTTTTTAAGAGGACCCCTCCCCCACCTTAACATGGTTAAAGATACCCAATTTTTATTTGGCATTTCCCCAGCTCTATATTAAAACAGAACTATTAAAATTTTATTGTTGCAAAAAAATGAGTGTAAAGTAATTGCTAGGTCATCATTTTGTTTGTAGGAAGAGCATCTTATAGCTAAGTACTATAAACTCCTTGCAAACAGATTGCTAAAGTATTTGAGCTTATATCTCACTTGTCTTTGACACTGAGAGCATTCAATTTTGATCTTGTAGCTTTCAAACCAAAAGCTTATTAAAATGCACATCAGGAATCTAATTTGGAAATTTTAAAGTATGATGAATCTGAAAAATGTCCTATTTCTTAACTTGTTTGCAAAGAGAACCATTTCCAAACCTTGTTTTGTATAATCTTAGTTGTTTTCATATTAGAAATGCTTTTTAAAAATCATCACTGAAAAAAGTTGTACATAATAATTCAGCAATCGGACATTTAACATAATTAACTTGAACCTTTAGATGGAACATTAATTTTATTAATTTAGGTAACTAAGCTTAATAAGAAACTTAATGTAATAATACCAGAATGAGATTTTTGAAAAGCTCTATATGTGGATCACAACTTTTTTGGGGAAGTAGAATTTGAAATATTTATAGATATTATTTAATTTTTATAACATTAGTCTTGATATATTTAAGTTTTGCCAGTGTCTACCCCGACCCTCCCCTTCTTAAAAGGATGATTTTGGGGGGCAAGGGAAGGGAAAATCTATTGGGAAATGAAGATGATGTAAAAAAAAACAAACATGTCAATGGATTTTTTTAAATTTTGAAGGGGCTTACAAAATCCAAATGGTTATTTTAAATTTACCTAAGTGAATGATGAAATGGAGTATCAAATTATTCAACTATAAATCCAGTCTCAGACTAGCTACAAAATGATGCTTTCCATTATCATGATACATGTAGACAAAGCCAAGTAAATTACATTCATGTTTGTATCTATCTTATCTTTTCTTACACATTTATGCAGGGTTGGAGACAGTTTAACGAATACATACTGAAGTGACCAGGTATCCTAAAGAAAAAAAAAGCACTTAAACTAGCACACTTCTAAGACGATGCCATTTTCTGGGGCAAAAGGTTCAAATTGTCAACTGTTATTTGTCAGTGGAATGTAAAAATTTCTAGTCAGGGATTTCTTAAGTTAGGACACAGCTGAGGATTTCACAAAAATTGGTTTAAACATACATTAGTGAAAAGACATTTCAACGACTTTCAGTCTATGTTTTCTATGCCCACTGGCTCCTATGGACATTTAGCAAAAAATTAAACAAACAAACAAAAAAAAGCCATTTCTGAGGTAATCTCCTAATTAGCAATTACCTTCAAAAGTTACATCATACTTTAAATATACAAAAATAAAATTCCCTATACACTGTTAAAGTCACAATGAACAAGCCATGGTTATCTTGCCATCATTCACAAAATGTTCCATTTCCTGACTTCCATTTCTCAGTTCTTTTCCAGGGCATCACACCTGTACCCATTCCCATGCTCCCTACCAATGCAACTACGCCATTCTCCTTCTACCCTTGAATTTCTAGTGCCTTTGTTCTGTGATGATTCTACCTTGCCAAACCCCAATCGTGGGTCACTCTCACCATCTCTGTCCTTTTCCCTGAACAGAATTGGGGGAAATCATGAAACTGCTGATGAGATCCATTAAAAACTTATCACATCTAATCTCCATTGGGCCACCACTGTCGCAGGAAAAACATTCTATTCCTCTCTAGTAAGTAAACTACTTTTCCACTATGCACAGAATTCATTTGAAATATTGTTTCTCCTCAAGCCTCCTCCAGTATCCGCCTCCCCAGTCCACACTCACAGCAGAATACTTCAGTGAACAAAGTTACACTATTTACCAAGAACTGCTCCTTCTCTACACCTTGAATCATCTGGGCAGAATCTTTGATCTCAGATGAAGAGGTGACCTTTCTTACCAAAGCCAATTTCTGTAGGCACAACCCTTCACCCCATCCTCTCCTGATCTCACCAGCAAATTGCTTCCATTATTTTTGATACTCTCATCTTCTAATTCAAATGAGGAAGTGACTAATAATTCTCATTTTACAGATGAGAAAGTTGAGGTGCAGAGAGGTTTATAGGATCACAAGTTTAAAGGTGAAAGGGATATTGGAAGCTACCACTCCCTCATTTTATTTTACACATGAAGAATCTAAAGCCCAAGGAAGAGAAGTCCTTCCCTGTTGCCTACAAACATGTCTTGGTCTCTTCTATTATTAAGAAATCTTCACTTGGCTTCTGCAAGCCCCACTAGCCATCATCCTATGTTTCTCCTCTCCTTCAGGGCTAAACTCCTTCATGAAATATTCTATCATCAGTGATTCTACTTCCTCTCCTCTCACTCTTCTAAACCCTTCAAAGGTTGGCTTCCAACCTCATCATTCAATTGAAACTGCTATCTTAGTTACCAGTGATGTCAATTGTCAAATCCAATGGCTTTATTTCAACCCTTGTTTTTTCCTGATCTATTTTAAGTATTTGATACTGTTGATCTTTTCTTACTGGCTATTCTCTCCTCTCATCTACATTTTTATGACGTTGCTTTCCTGGTTCTTCTCCTTACCTGTCTTACCACTGGTTGGTTGGTTGTTGTCCTTCTTTCTCAAAAAGGACCAAAATGACATCACTATACTAGAGTGAAGTTTTAGTGTGTCTGATCAGACCAATACGAGCTCGAAATGCTGTACTACATGTTGGGTACAAATAGTGCATGTGAACCCTTGAAGTGAATTTCTCTAAGTTTGCATATTTTGTGTTCCTCTTGCACTACTTCAATTCTGCTTTGCTCATACAACACAGAACCTTTTCTGATGTGGGTACACCATGCTGAGCGGTCCTGTGGCAGTTTCTCCCATGTCACACAGTCAATTCCAGAGTTCTTTTTTTTTTTTTTGGCTAGGCAGTGGGATTAAGTGACTTGCTCAGGGTCACACAACTAGTAAGTGTTAGTGTCTGAGGCCAGATTTGAACTCAGGTCCTCCTGAATCCAGGGCTGGTGCTCCATCCACTGCGCCACCTAGCTGTCCCCAATTCCAAAGTTCTTAAGCGAGACCTTGAAAGTGTCCTTGCTTCTTCTGACCACTATGTGAACACTTGCCCTTTGTGGGCTCTCCATAAAATAAGTCTTTTTGGCAAGTGTATGTTTTGCATTTGAACTATACCCCAAGGTTATGTCCTGGGTCCTCTCTTCTTTCCTTTTATTCTGCCTCATCTGGTGATCTCATCAGCTACCATGGTTTAAATATCATCGATACACAGACGACTCCCCAATCTAACCCTAACCTCTCTCCTCAGCTAGTCATGTATCTCCAATTGCCTTTTGGACACCTCAAACTGCATGTCCCTGAATAATCTTAATCTAACATGTTCATTTTCCCCCCTCCAAACTCCTCAATCTTCCCAACTTTACTATTACTGTCAAGGGCACAATCATCCTCTTGTCACCCAGGCCCTAACCTCAGCATCATCCCTAACACGTCACCTCATTCCACATATCCGAATGGTTACCAAATCTTGTTTCTCTCTTCAGAACATCTCAGGTACGTGTAGGCTACTGTACTAGCCTTCTCATCGGTCTCATGGAGTTAAGTGTTTCCCCATTCTAATCCACCCTCCACTCATCCACCAAAGTGATTTTTCTAAAGCTTAGATAGGTCTGACCATGTCAACCTACAAACTCTGGAGCCTCTCTATTACCTTCACTACTTGACATTTAAAGCTCTTAATAATCTGGATCCTTCTTAGCATCCTCATCTTCTTATACTTTGATTCCCTCTACATGCATCCCTCCACATAGATAATGTTGATTTATGGTTTTCTAAGTCAATACACTTCGGGCAGGTATCCATTTCTATTTGTGTTTGACACCACTGATTTAAATGCTGTTTCTTCTTAGGTAAATAGGAGCACTAGAATTGAACCCAGGTCCCTCTGACTCCCAATATAGTACTCTTTACATTATACTGTCCATAAAATTCAGAAGACAACAATTTAAATCTATCCCTAGAGATGAAAATACGTAATATTTCAGAGTTAAATTTCTAGGCGCAATCATCAGAGCAGTACCATCATTATACTGAGTCAATTATTCTAATATAATTTTTCTTTGTATTTTTGAGGCAGCCAATGCAAAAGTGAGATTCTATAATTTGCATGGAGTAAGATCATTAATACAATTGCTTTCTAGAAAGCATTTCTCAGAAAATACAGAAAGAAAAAGCAAAAAATAAACACAAACCCTAGAGTTTAAAACTTCAAGATTAAGAATATTTTCCAATATATTTTGTTATGTAATTACTGAGCAAATGGAATTTTGTTCTTTCTTTATCCTTGCCTTTACTAAATAAAGAGAGATCTCTTAATTAAAAAAAAAAATTCCCCTTTAGAATGGAAGCTCTTTGAAGACAAGGATTGCTTTTATGTTTCTTTGTATCTGACACATATAAGTACTTAATAAAAGTTTGACTTTACTCTGGAGATAAAGGAATGGAAACCTTTTATTGTCTGATAGATGTTTAGGCATAGGTAAAATAGTGGCACGGCCCTACAGCTAAAAATAAAACCATAATTAACCAATCACTTCTGATGCTCAAAGATTTCTTTAACTTCTTGATACAAAATAAAGGGAAGCCAAGTGACAGGAATGGTTCTATAGAAATCCCTTTTATGTTCAAAACAGGACATTGTTTCCTGAATTTGAAATATGCTGGATTCTAGTAAGTAGTTATGTGCAAAATTGCTTTAGGAGATACCATTCCTTTGTACTCAGATAAAATTCTCCCACAGTGCTGTTCACTTAGCAGGCATTCAGAAAATATTATAAACAAACCAACAAAAACCTCACTAGCTAATAAATTCGGCATGAAAAGCCCATTTTTAAGACCTAGTTTGCATTTTCCATTAAGTATTGGCCTAATCTGCTATAATTTTCCATCTATTTGTTTTAGTTCAAGAACAAAAGTCAAAAAATTCATCTTACTTGGATTACTCCACTGGGGTTGACACTGATCATAGTACAAATCCCACGAAATGCTGAATCCTTTTCCTCATTGTCCCTTATATTTCTCAGAGAGGTACACCTATTAAATTACAGAAGTGAGCTTTAGTAATAAAGTAAAAAGGTGCTTCTGTTTTATTACTAACAGTATTTAATGGAATTCTACTCAAAGAGTTCTTGGAAAGCTAAAAGATGCCCAACAATTCTTTTGCTTTATCTACTTAATATCAAGTAATTAAAAAGTAGAATTCTTATTCCTTAGTAAAAATTAGTTATGTGAAAAATGAATGAATGAATTTAGATTTTGTACTAGATGTGCATCAACTGTTGAATTTCAGCCATGTGAAGGTTATTAAACTAGTCTAAAGAGTTAATACAAAAAGTATTCCATTAAACACCACTAATAGGGTTTTTTTTAGTTTATAAAAGCTATAGATTTTAAGAAGCAGAACATAGAATATACTGCCACAGTGTAAACTACATCTCGATACAACTTATGGTAAAAAATATTTAAATTTTACAGCAGCAAGCAAACAATACTTTTATACATAACAAATCTATGTTTTCAATCCAAGTTTTCAAATTAATTTTAAAGTAATGTAATGCAGTCTAATTTTTTACATCTGCATGCATCAATATTGTTCAGGAGGATTTTTAAATGCTCTGTAGGTATAAATCAAGCTTTTAACACAGCAAGCATGTGACAATCTTATCCCATGCATCAATTAGTCGTTAGCCACAACATAAAATAAATATACATGACGATGCTACTGAAAAACTCACAAACCTGATAGGACAAGATTAGTCACATGGTTGGCAATGATTAAGGATTGTGATTTTGTAACCAACTGAAAATATATCTAAAAGTGAGATAGAGAGAGAGAAAGAGAAAGAAAGAAAGAGTGAAGAAAAAATGAATTTAAAAAAAAAAAGATTGAATAATACACACCAGGGTCTTATAAACTGCTGTAGCATGGGGGCCACCTCTTGAGGACAAACGTAACCAAGACGACCAATTGTTATTGCTAAGGTAACGCAATCACGGTTATACACCACCAAACGCCAACCAAGACATGAGCAAATGAGGGGGAAGGAGAAAAAATAAAGAAAAAACAACAAATAACTCAGAAACAGAAACCAACAGAATCTGTGTATGATAATAAACATAAGATTTCACCAGTGCTGTTTATTACCACCCCCTAAAATAAGGGGCAGCAACATATATGGCATACTTTTGGGGAAAAAGAAAGCAAAAAGAATTAAAAAAATTTTAAAGATTGAGAGAACACCAAAAACACAAGCAATTTTGCTTCTCCCACCCAATTTATAATGCCCACATATGTCTATACACTAACAAAAAGATTGATTTGGAGGTTACTTGGTATAGGCTAGTAAATATTTTAAGAATTTGGTATCAAAATGAAAAATATTTAAGTACAGTTCTTTTTTTTGTTTGTTTGTTTTGGTGAGGCAATTGGGGATAAGTGACTTGCACAGAGTCACACACAGCAAGTTAATGTTATGTGTCTGAGGCCAGATTTGAACTCAGTTCCTCCTGACTCCAGGGCTGGTGCTCTATCCACTGCACCATCTAGCTGCCCCAAGTATAGTTCGTTAAGTTACATAATTTAGGTAAACTTACATAACAATTTATATTGATTTCAGAATCATTTATATGAAATGGACCATGAATCATCTCAAGTGTCACGTCAAGTATATTGCTAAAAATTTAAATCCGGTCTTTTCATCTCACCAAATTTATTTACATAAATGAATTCCTTTCATACTTCAATTTTAGACTGCCTAAATCAGTAGTTAAATCTCAAGTGTTAAGGTGCTCACTGACTGAATGGAGCAGGAAACAATTATTGTGATAGGTCAAATCTCATTTCAGCAAAACTCTCCATGTAACAAAAAACTTCAGGTCATATATTAATTTCAAGCAATATTCAAATTCTAATACAAAAAAAATTTTTGAACAGGAGTTTACTATAATCCAATTTGTTCCCCCTATTTTTTAAAAGCATTTTTTACTATATGGTCTAACCAATTTTCTGCTTTTATTATAAAAGGTATAGTGGAAAAGTAGAGATAACATAAAGGAGTAAATGTTAATTTTTAATTTTAAAAATTTAAATGGGAAAGTAATCACCAATACGTAATCATTGAAAAGAAATGCTTTCTTAATATAAGATGAAACAATTGCAACTCAGAAGTGCATTCTACAATTCAAAAATACATACATAAATAAATACACTTATACATTTAAAAAAAAAAAAAAACACAGAAAACAAACCATGAGGTGCTTTAATGGTGTTCTCTCAAAAACTCACAAAAGGTTAATATTTCAGAAAAAAAGGGTGGGGGGAAAAAGATAATGTTTAAGGATTACTTAAAGCAAACTACACAGATAATACTAAAAATCCAGCAGATTCATATGAAGCAAAGAAAACCTATGTTTAAGAGACACAAACTATGCAACATTCTCATTAAACAGGCATAATGAAACATGCAATAAAGCAGATGATGTTCTATTAAAAAGTTCAGTGTAGGATATACTATTTTTTTAAAATTATTTTGTAAAACAGGCATTGTATAAATTAATCTTGGACCACTGAACTTGAGCAGCAGAAGATATGGTTTCAAAATTCAGTTCAAGCACTTAATAGCTGCGTTTCCTCTTAATTTCCCTTAGGTTCAACTTCCTCATTTCAGGATACTACTGGAGCTACCAACTTTGAGAGCCATAGTGAAATAATATGTATCTGAACTATCATTATCATTTCCCTCTTAATGTTATAAAATTCATGCTAGATAAGATTGAAAATCATGAAAAGTCAATATATTCTAATTGCAGGAAGGATTTCTAAAAAGTTGAAATGGTAATGAAATTGTTTCATTTTTTTTTTAAATTTGTATCCATAGCACCTGATACAGCACCTCCCTCAAAAGGGGAACTTAATGCTTGTTGACTGATTTGATAAACCATTAATTTTTAAAAGCTCCATTTTACCTCCAATATACATATTCCAATAAAAAGTTTTGGCATTAAGATGTATGTTATGGAGCAATCTGTAATTAACTAATTATCAATTGTATTTTCAATGGAGGTTATGAACTTGGATTTCACCATTTTAATCCAACTTCTAACCTAATTATAGGATAGGTCAATTAATGTTCTAGGATGTACTGCTGCAGATTCAGTAGCTGATATCCCACAAAAAACTTTAGGTACATCACATTCAACATTTATTTGCAGTTATGCATTCACATTTAAAAACAAAGGTTCCTTTTTTTTTAAATTAATACATATGAAAGCTTCTACAATTTTATAGTAGTAAAATGCTTCAACTGTGGATGAATGTTACATACAGGTACTGCATTCTAAAAAGGAAAAAAACTGTTAAGATAACAATTTTTTTCATTTTTCAGCAATGTTTCCCTTGTGAAGTGTCAGTACCTATACAAACAACCAGATCTCTTTAAAATTTTAAAAGATCTCCTTCCATACTAACTCTAACACTCTAAAAATAGATTTAAAACAAACCTTTTCCATCATAGTTGATTTTATTCTAATCTTTCTATGGAATCTTTAGAAAGACAACTGCAAACCAGTAATCATCATGGTACAAAAAGGAATGAAATGAATGGAAAAGAATTTTGAAATTTATGACCAAAAACTATCAAGAACACTAACAAGTAAAAACAAAAAAAATACAAATATATTTCATAGTATGGAAGGTGCTCTTTAAACCATATATACATGCTCTTTGAAAATGCAAAAGGGAAACAAGCCCCCATAAATCAAATCCCACAAAGCTCTGCTTAAGTTCACACTTAGAAGTTAGTTACTGGAGAGAATACAAAATGTGCATGCTAGTAACAACAAATTAACTTTCAACAGCAGTGCCATATCCAATGTCTCAATCTATCTCAAAAATCTTGATATAGGGAAATAAAGCAGGATAGATAAATTTTTTGCAAATTTTTCAGACTCTTCCCCCCATGTATATGTCCAGCTCATATGGCTCAAAACTTTAAAAAGTTAATGTGTATAAACACAACATACAGGTGCAATATATTTTCTGAACCAGTATAATATAAAACCCATGAGGTTCCAGTATCATTCAACCATTAGACATACTTTAAGCTAATAAATAAGTATTAGGAAGCAAGGAAAATGGATTTCTAGTTGTCTTATTTGTTCTTCAGAGTTTTATAATACTGGTGCAGGAATATAGCTTTATTAATAAACAGCATATTTTATACACATGATCCACAAATGTTTATTTTAAAAAGCTGGACAAATGTTAGTACTGGTATAGTTTTTCTGAGCAATTTAATTTAAAAGAATTTTAAAAACAATTAGTTTTCCCTTCACCACAACAGTTCCGTTATATGGTACCTGTATTCTCTAACAACGTCTTTGGTGTGTTGGGTCTGTTAATGATTTCTACAAGCTGGTGCAACACCATTGGAATATAAGGCTGCATCTCTATACCTAGATAATTTAAAAAAAAAAAAAAGGAAGAAATTGTATAAAAAAAGAATATTTAGAGCTGTATTTACTGCGATACAATTTTATGTTAACGATGTTAATGATAAATCTGATAGTGCTTACGTTAATCTGATAGCAAACATAAAGAATGTTCATTTTAAATCTCTTCAACACTTACTAAAAAAAAAAAAAAGTCTCACCCATTTGAATCGAGATTTCTCCAATTGCCCACGTCGCATTGTTGCAGACTGAAATAAATTCTGGATTTAGGTTGGTTCCCAATATTGGCATGAAATCAGCTAGAAAGAATAACATTTTTTAAGATATTGTGCATTGACTGAAACATTTTACTCTAAGTGAACTGTGCTTCAAAGGGAAAAAAAACCCTCCAAATCTATGTGTAAACTGACCTGGGGGGAAAAAAACAGATTGGATGCTACACTAGAATGCCACCATCTATTAACTGAGACTGTTAAAAGACAGTCATATCATACAAAATATATTCTTTTAGAGCAAAAAGGAAATTTAGATTTTAGAAATATTGGTAATTTGTTTCTCTGAATTAAAATGGCTACCTCTATACTTTATAGGCTCCTCCTCACAGGAAGCCAGAACTACAGATACAACTTAAGTTTTTCATTTTTCTCATTAGGTCATTTAAAAAAGACTTACTAGACTTTATTTAAAGCATGATTTTTATTACACTAGGAGTCATGAGGGGAAGAACCTAAAATAGAAGTTATGACAATGTAAGATTCAACTTTTTTTACAAAATATTTTACACAAATATTTCAAATAAAAACCCAGTACTTGAACTGGCCAGAGATAGTACAATTTAAAAATGCACAATGCTTGGCATATAGTTAAATGCTTAACAAATGTTTTTTCTTTCCTTCTCTCACTTGTTCATCTACAAAAGGCATATTTGATTATTTAATCATTTATGGACCCCTTCCTATTACTCCAAAACCAGTTTCCTCCTTTGAACTCTAAACAAGATAAGTGGAATTTTTAAAATATTTTATCTTTTAAGAATCCTCAATGCTGGAGTGCATGGGTGGGAGGGAAAGGGAAGCAGAAATTGGGCTGCATTTCAGTTATGAAATAGTATGATTTTTTTTTAACAACTTGTTTTTGGAAAGGCCATTAAATTATAATCCAGCCACTGGAATAGGAAGAAGTAATGCTAGATGTCTTATGCTCTTTCCCCTCATCCCACTGGTATATTCTCATGCAGAAGCATAGCTGCAAAAGTGTGACTAATTTATACTGATATTTTCTTGTCTTACATAAATATACCCTCAAAATTGTGAGGAAGGCAAGTAATCAAATCGTATATATGAAAAATGAGTAAGATTTGTCACTACATCGTATCCATTAAAGAAAAGCTGAGTTAATCATGCTACTGATGTTATCATCATAGAGTGGAGAGGTAAGTATGGTCATACCTATGCAAGGCTTAACATGCTGAAAGCATGCCTTCGTCAGGTCACCTAACAAGGCAAATGAACTCTGTCGAACTTCTGGCATTTTATCCTGCAAAAATGAAGGGAAAAAACCGTCATTCCAATTCAGAAAACTGTATGTCAATTGAAGACATCAAAGTAACTGGTTACACACACATCAAGTGAAATAATATTATAGGGAGCAGCCCATAAAACAGCACTGGAGTGGGGACTGGTTTTAATTTGTTAATCACTCAGTTCACAGCAAGGTAATATAGTGTATGCCCTGCACGGGATTACAAAAAAACCTTACCTGCATGCACTGGTACATCAGCGTTAGAATGTTGCTTCGAGCTACTAGCTGTTCAATGTTGCCTCCAAGTCCTTCAGCTAGGCCACTGAGTAAATCAAGAGCCACAATCATGAAATCTTTATCAGGAGCCTCATATTGATCGGGTTGAGCATTGTGCAACTATAATTTTAAGAAATGGTTTTAAAATAAATACTTTAAAACATTCAAGAAAAAAGCTAAATTTTAAAATGGACTGTGCCTACTGCCAATAACTGACTTGATTTGGCAGACTAGGAAAAAACGAAATTATAATAAAAACAATGAAAATACCATGGCTTGTGCAAGAGTCTTCTGGACAAGGTTCACACAACGCTGATACACAGGTTCACAGTATGGAAGGAAGCCAGACTGCAGGGCCGTGGCAACCGAAGACAGGCACTGAAACAAGAGTCAAGTATATGATTGCTTTTTTGGCTACACTCGAGACAGCCAGAGATCTCTGAATGTACAATTCAACAAGACAAAATGAAATCTTGTATAGCTAAATGCTAATGGTGAGAGTCTCAATCTGGGATCAGTAATGCACTAGTTGCTACATCAAGCCTTACTTCCTTTTTCTTTTTTAATTAATTTGTTTTGATTTATCAACAGTCATTTCCATAAGCTTTTTTGAATTTTTCTCCCCCTTCCTTCCTACCTCCAACCCCAAGATGGCACAAAACCTGATATAGGCTATACATGAGACTTTTGGAGATGTCTTAGATCCTCGCATTGCTGAGAAGGGCTGATAAAGTTAGTTCTCCTGGTTCTGCTCACTTCACTCAGTGCCGCCAGTCCACACAAGTCTTTCCAGGTCTTTCTGAAGTCTGCCTGCTCATCATTTCTTATAGCACAATAGTATTCTATTATACTCATATACCACAACTTGTTCAGCCATTCCTCAATTGATGAGCATCCCCTCAATTTCCAATTCTTTGCCACCGCAAAAAGAGCTGCTGTAAATATTTTTGTACATGTGGGTCTTTCTTCTTTTTTCTTAATGCATTTTCATGCCATCCCTACTCAATCCAGCTCCAGCCTTGGGGTCCTGTTTGGTGAGTTTTTCACATTTAGCTCAACCTAGATCCACTCCCTAGCTCTCAGCCATGTTTGCCAAACTTCTCCACAAATATCCTTCCTGCTCATTTTCTACCTCTAAGCTCTAGGAATAGTAATCAAATCAACACTGCATTCCTGGAAAGAAGTACTCATCAATTGCCCTACAGCTCTACACTCATCGATCTATACCTAACCAAATCATCCTACCCTGGACACCCCTCCTACATATCTTGTCTTTCTCTATTAGAATGTAAGCTTCTTGAGAGCAGGAACTGACCTACCTTTTCTATTTGTATCCCCGGTGCTTACTACTTAACATGTAATAAGCCTTTAATACTTTTTTTTTGGTATTCATTTAAATGTAATTTAACATTTTTCCATCATGTATTAGGTGTCAATATTTTTGCCATGATTCCCTCTATACTCTCCTAACCCCAAAAGCAAAGTTGACGACTTGGTACCCTACATCCGAAAAGCCACCAATTTCTAACATCTGTTTTAGCAAGGTTCATTTCCCACATACGTTAGTGGTCAAGAACAATGGTTTTTTAAATGCATTCTATTCCTAAGAGAAAAATCAGTGGGGTTCACCACACAAATCAGCTGTCTGGACTGCGCGGCACATTGAACAGCCCCTTCCCACTATCCACGCTTGAATCAAACCTACCATACATGTATCATGTTAGTAAGTATTGAGCTGGAGAAGTGACAAGACTACACAATACTAGTCTGCTCTGAGGTTGGTGATAATTTGTAATTCTGGTACTCCTGGGCATACTCTTCTTCCCCCTTAGTCCTTGCCACAAATTTCTACAAATCCTATCTTTCATATTTTCTAATTCTACCTCTACCCCTACCTATAATCTTAGCAATTAAAAAAATTTCTATACCAAATTAACCCTTTGAAGGCTATTTGACAAATTATTTTTAATCTTAAAAATCCGGAAACGCTGTTATCTAGGGTCACAGGAACACAGGTTTAGAATCGGAACGGACCTTGGAGATCCCAATTATTAAGGCTAATTTTTCCTTAAAAGATAGCGAAACCATTATTGAGACTTGACTGGCTCAGAGAACTAAAAGCTCAGGCTGTTGACATCACTTCTTGGTCACTGTAGTACAAAATGTTCAGGAAGAGCTCCATATAGTGCTGATGATTAACAGACCATGATGGAAAAGACAGGCAAGGGAGCTGCTACATCGACTCAGCATGTCCTCAGTGCACATCCTTTTGCGATAGCCTTCTGCCATGCCTGAGTAATTCTCCTTCTGTTAACTGTTGAAGGACTCACATGATTTCATTTTGTCCCAAGACTGAACATAAATTACCAGGGGATGGGCCCAAGTCAAGCTTAACCCAGAACAGACAAGCTGCCAGCTGCCACTCATTTTTAAATAAGAACATTTATCGTAAGCAAGAATTTGGTCACATTTTTCTGGTCCTCTACCTTTTTAGAAAGTTTAAGTAGCTCCTAGCAAGATGTCTTTTTGCATTCTAGAGCCTAAACTATTTTCCAGTTCTCCACACATGTATTTTTTAATAAAGAACTGTCAATTCGCAGACACACGAAGTCATCATTGCACTCACCTCAACGATTTACTGCACACTTGCTATGTGCCTGGCTCTCTAGCAGAGTATTCTATGTTTTAAGAGTTGAAGTTACTACATTACATGTAATATTACAAATGCAAGTAGATCACTCTTTATGTCAGTATTTCAACTAGTACGGTTTTAAAATTGTTCTAGTTTGAAATAATTTATATTCTATTCCAATACCCCATTGTTGCTGGGCAGCAACCAAGGGCTATGCAAGAAAGGTACAACCTCTAGCAAGTCACACTTAGGTAGGAAGGGGGGATGACAGACTACATCATCTGTTACTCAAAGACCAGACTAGCTAAATACTCAGGGTCACATCCCCAGGAGGTTGGCAACTCATTAAAAAAATTTCTTTGGTCATTGCAATTTTAAGACATTAGGAGTAATCCATCAAAAATAACAAAACTAATAAAAACAACAGATCGAAGCATACTGCATGTGCAGTTATCACAAATACAGTTACAACTTACATGATAAACATTTTGTACTTCACCATCCTTCAACTCAGAGGTAGCAAACATATGGCCTGCAACACTTCTGAGTGCAGCATGGACCAGACTAAAACACAACTGGCAAACACTTAACGAAATAAATAAAAATACAATATAATGTCAATATGTGGTTTTTTAAAGTAAAGATGCAATCCACAGGGATCCTTATGTACAGTTTAGTGGCCCCCTTTGTACCTGAGTTTGACATCACTGCTTCAAATGATCTTACCTCAAGTAAAGGGAAGAGATCTTTATCTTCATCTTTCAGCATGTTCCATTTCTGGATTAGTGGAGGCATTAGCATCTGTATATATTCCTATTTATATAGAAGAAAAATAAACATGAATTTTTAAGAAAGGACAGTTCCATGATGAAACGAATCAATTTTAGTACTGAAAATCAAGGAAAAGGAATTGCCCTTTATAAGACATCTAACCCTATTGTTTTACTTTTAAAATATTCTTTACAAGTTCAACATTTCTTTCTGGAGAATGGTATACATATACATCTCCATGATTCAAGAAAAGAATCCTGGTTTTGGACAAACCACTCCTGTCTTTGGACAATATAAATGTGCCTTAGATTCCTTAAGGGAACTAACAGTATGTTTCACAACTCCACTGTGGGAAGAGGCAGCACGCTGTAATGGAAAGGGCACTGCGCTGCGCTTGAAGTCAGGAGAGATGGCAGTTCAAGCCGTGGCTGACCAGCACTGTGGGATCGAGGGCAAAGCCATTTCATGTGTCTAATCCTTAGATCTTCTTCTGTCAAATGGGATACTACTGTGTGAAGTGCTCACCTTAAAAGGCGGTTGTGAGAGAAACGCTCTGTGAAACGCTAAGTGTGATTTTAAAAGATGACAGAAAACAGGTCCTCAAGTTTATCTTCCAATCCATTAGATCAGCGCTATTGAGGCTCGTGGCCTCATGTGGGGTTGCAACCCACAGTTTAACAAGCACTGAAAAGGTCTGGAGTAGGAAAAGTTTAAGAAGCTCTGCTGGTATAAGCCTTGGAGGGGACTGAATCTATCCCATATTAATGAGGGAACTGAAACACAAGGTGATAGTGACAAACCTAAGTCCTATGATTCCAAATCTAAATTAAACTGACATTACACCTTATCTTAATTCTCAATCATGTATCAGCGAGCTATATCTTTTTCTTACCTGACACACTGGGAGCTGGGGGAGACTCAACCTATGACATGCTACGGTTACTACTGCATAGTGCTTTAAAATTAACATGTAATCTGAAACTACCTAATATTCTAAAACCATGGTAAGGTAATCTTAAAATGAAGTTAAAATATAAAGACTTAAAGTATTACATAAAGGTGAATTATTACAGATGTTTCTTATTTAACTGCAGACAGTACAAAAGAAGCCAAGCAAAATAGTACAGGTACAGATGTCCAAATTCTCGAAGATCATTTCTAAAATAAATTAGGCAAGAGAGCAATGAAAAGGGAGATGACCATATTCTGGGGTGGAAGTGGGTGCTTCAGATACTCCTAGCAATATCAGCTCTCACCACAATTTGCATTTCATATAATTTTGGTCAGACTAAGCTTCTCTCGAAGTTAGGAACACATGTAGGCAGAAATAGTTGGCATACCCATGAGGAAATTTAATAATCCTTATAGATTCCTCATAAACAGTATATATTAAGATTCCTGAGGTCTGCTTACTCTAAGTGGTACATTTGCAAAGGATGTCAGTTCTCTTTGTCCTTCTGATACGCCAAAATTCAAGAGCCTCTCACTGAAGTCAGTCTACAATCCTACCACAGCTGACCAGCTCCAGCTGGGTTTCAAGTACGCTCTTGCACATCCTGGATCAGGACAAAAGGACCCTGGGTGGCCATGTCACAGGATGACACTTGTTTTTTGTTTGTTTTGGCACTTGTTAAAATAGGGATACACTAAGGATATTCTATACACTAACTGTGAGGGCACACCAAAGATCTGTTCTGGGCCTTCTTCTCTTGCTAAACCTTCTTTTCCTTGGTTCTCACTGTTTTATCATGCTTATTTATGAAGATGGTTCTCAGATCTATACAACAAGCCCTAGTCTCTATCCTCAACAACCTCTGCATATCACCATCTACCTATTCAATAATTTAAAGTAAATGTCCCAGAGAACATCTCAAATAGTTAAAAATAAAAAAAACACCCCCTTAAGTGCCCCCCACATTCATCCCTCTTCCAGATCTTATTTCAATCAAGAATCTTCCCAGTATACCATGTTTATGCAACCTGAGAGTCCTCCTCCACTCCTGATTCTCCCCTAACCCACATATCCAATGTGCTATATATACTAACATTACTATCTATATAGCCTATCTCCTATCTAATCTTATCTCTTTATTCACATGGCTACTACCCTAGCTTAAGCCATTATCATGTTTTGCTTGGACTATTGCAATCCTCCTGGTTACCCTTGCCTCACAAGTCTTTCATTCCCTCTAATCCATCCTTCATATAACTGTCAGAATGGATTTTTCCTGAAATACATTCCACTCTCTTACTCAACAAATTCCCTTTTACCTGTAGGATCAAATATAAAGTCTTTGGGCCACTGAAAACCTTTTATAACCTAGCCCCAATCTACCTTTCCATCTTATACACATACTACAGTCTAGCCAAATTGGCCTTCTTGACATTCTCCCACATACAATGCTCCCCTTTCTGTCTCCTGACTTTGAAATGGTTGTTCCCCATGACTGGAATGCCTGTTTTCCTTCAAGACTCAGCTTGAGCATCACCGTCTGCAGGAAAGCCTTCTCTGGTTCCCCCAATGGTAGTTTCTCCATTCCTAAAAGTTCCTTCTATTTATTTTGTACATAAATTTTCTATATGCTTATTTACATACATGTTGTCTCCTGATAGAAAGCAAGCTCTCTGATGATAAGGACTTGCTTTACTTTTCTCTCTGTAACCCCAATGCCTGCCACACAGTTGGTACTTGACAAATGCTTATTTATCAACTGAGGATTAAAGGTAGGACTGGAATCTAAGTGTTCCCAACTCTGGCAACTGGTGGTGCAGTGGATAGAGCACTGGGCCTGGAATCTAGCTGCATGAACTTGGGCATGTCATTTAACCCCCATTTGCCTCAGTTTCCTCAACTGTAAAATGTAAAATAACAACAGCATATACCTTACATCGTTGTAAGGACAAAATGAGATATTTGTAAAAGTGCTTAGCACAGCGCCTAGCATATAGAAGGCCTACCCTTCACCACCCATCTCCTCTCCCAACTCTTAAGTCTAACACTCTTATGTATTTGGTCATGCTGCTTGCAAATGCCAAGCCTGAACCTTCTGCTAATTAGCCTGATCATTTTATCATTCCCCTCAGCAAAGAATATTTATTGTGGCCATCTTGGTTGGAATAACTCCTTTCTCTTTTCTGTTCGAGGGCTATATTAATTCTCAAATTGTCTAGCTCTAGTTTATTTCTTCCATGAAGCCTTTCCTAAGGTAGCCTGCAAAAATTATTCTTTTAGCTAACTTCTGTTAAAATGTTTTATAAGGTTCAGTCTTGTTTTCTGTTTCACTCACATCTCTTTTTCTCTAATTAAAATATATCTTTGATTCCCTCCCCAACAGGCAGCAGTGTTGATTAATAAGCACTGAAGTAATTGGGTTCCTTTAAAATTTGTATAAACTAACTTTAAGGGGAACTGAAGAAATTTCAATGGTGCATCTGTAAATGTCACAATGAATTCCAGTGAGTTCAGTGCTGTTTTTTTAACCTCTTTCTGTTTGACTTTTATAGTAAAGCACTTGCATATTAAGTTAAAGGGTTAATATCAAAAGGTATTAATATTACAGCCACACCTTTCTAATCTATCTATATTCTGTACTACAGATGTACATAATTAAAAACACTCATTACTTCACGGTGCTACGCTGTACTATATAATCCAACTAAGCTGTATTTCCTTCTCTTAAAATTGTTAAAGAGATATACTTACCGGTTTATTTAAATGATGCCCTACAGAATCTGCTAATGTTCCTATGGCATCATAAAGAATGAGCAGATTCTTATGCTGGTATTTACTAAATGCGAAGACCAGGGTGTCAAGTATATAAGCAAGGTAGGGAACAAGTTCTGTACAAGCCTCCTCTTCCAGGGTAGCAAAGGCACTAAGAATTTTTTTTTTAAAAAGAGAGAGAAATGGTTATTATATTAAAAAATGTGCAATAGGGATAGGTACACTGACATATTATGTGTCATTATCTTCTACAAGCCCATAACACCCAAAAAGACTTTTCTTCTTCTTTTTTTAAAAATTATTTCAACTTCCTATTCTCATCTACTCCTCCAATTGTAGGCCTGTCTGGTTGGTACCATTTAGCCCACTGTTACCACCAGATCTAAAGATTAGACTTTAGGATTACAAAATACAATGAAATAAAGTTGTCACAATCTAGTCCTTTGCAAACAATTATAACATAAAGGAACTAGAAACAAAAGAAGTAGCCTACTCCCTGGGAGTAGCTAAACAAACTGTGATGTATTAGTATGATGGAATATCATTGTGCCTTAAGAAACAATAAATACAAAGAATTCAGGGAATCAAGGGAAGGCTGTATGAACTGATGCAGAGTGAAATAAACAGAACAAAGAACAATTTACACAAGGTCTACAATGATGTAAAGAAAAACACTGAAAGACATTCAATGAAACAAACAGTCATAGCTTCAGAGGATTTTGAGCCAAACAAACCTGGGTAAAGAGATGGCAGACTCAAAGTGTGCAATGAAGATCGTATCCATCAGATATGGGCAACCTACTGATTTGATCAAGTCAAGTCTATTGATCAAGTCTTGCTCTAAGTCCTGTAACTAAATAATGTCTCATAATTAATTGTGTGGCTTCTTTTTAGGAGATTTAGGGGAAAAGATGAAATCAATTTACCACAGACTTGAAAGACAGAAGTGACCTTAAAGATTACGGCGGCCAACTCCTTGGTTTTACAAATGAAGCCCAGTGATGTGACGTGCCCAAGGTCATGCCACAAAGAGTTCAGTGACAGCTTTCTAAGGTAGACTTAAACATACACTAGCTACTAGTTAGGTTAAAACAACCTTGGTTCCTAAAAAACTTGTAATTTTCTGATTGGTGCTACCAAGAATGCCTACCAGTATACTGTTTTACTAATTCACTTCATACTACAATACCCTCTAGAGAAAAATTTTAATTGAGGAATCTTAAAAAATTATTAACAATATTTTTTCTTTATATGTTTAATGTTCTGCTTATTTCCATTATTTTCATCACCCCCTAGTCATTGTAGCTACTGGAAAGGATTTAAATGAGGCAAGAATGAAATGTTTTCTTGCTAAAAATAGGTTATGAAAGGATATTTATATGTAGAAATTACAACCAGAAATAAGGCCTCCAAAATATGTTAAGTGCATTCCAGAAAAGTAGGACATTTATGTCAAAGGACATATGCTCAAGATAGGAACATCCCTAATCTTAGCCTATAAAGTAATTCTAATAATGGAAGGTTCAAATACCTATTTACATAAGACTAGTAGTTGAGATGAAGGTACTATGTAATCACTGAACAAATAACAGATAGGTGAGGAATCTCTTTTGGTGAAAGGATAATCCACCCGGGGGAATGGAAAAATGGAATACAAGTATTCTTATAAATATTAGAAGCTAGATGTAACAATGTCACCTAGAGACTAGCCTAAATACAATCAAGGTTAGTGGTATTAAAAAAATGTCCTAACTTTTTACCTTCATCACTACTGTCATCTTTGGAAAGTTCTAGATGGGGACTCATTCCCTCTTTAGTTTTCTCATTTTTGTCACTAGGTAGTTGTGTGCACATGTGCTATGCAGTGGGGAAAGAGAAACAATAAGAAATGTGAGCCTAAGTTTGGGGTTATTGCTTTTGTGGCAAGCCCAAATTTTGAAAAGTACTGGAAGGCCCTCTATAAGCACTAAGCAAAAATTTGAAGGTGTGGAATATGATTAATGTTAAACAAAAACAAAAACAAAACAAAAAAACCCAAACTTTAAGTTCCTTCTTGTTTCCCTCTATTCCTAGGGAGATACTATCAAATTATCAGCCAATTTTTTTCCCCAAGCAAATAAAATTTTTCTGAAAAGCTGAACAGTAGAAATAAGTAATACAAATTTCTTGTAAACAGAACTGTTCATCCTAGTTTCCTAAAGCTTTATCATCAAGAAAAACATGTAAAACAGGGCAGTAAGAAAATAGGTTTTAAACGTAACATTCAAAAAGGGACTTAATAAATTGAAATTTGCTAATCTGATTAAAATGACTGCTAAGTCATCTCCACAGGGTTTTTGACCTGGAAGAAACCTTAAGAGATGCTGAAAAGTTTAGCCAATGACTAAAGTAACAAAGAAAAATGTGAGTTATTTGTGAGTTAAGATGATAGCCTACCTGCAGGCAGCTTCTTGTACTCTCTTGTTGCTATCTAGAATACGTTTAAGTAATTCTGTCATTAATGGCTTCAAGTACGTATCTGGGGGCTGGCTAACTACCCAGTGTGCATAGCGGCTAAGAGTCCAGCACGTAATGGAACGTACAAGAGCCTTTTTATCAGAGAGGCACTGAATAAGGTGAGGGATGAGTTCAGGCAGATATGGTATCATACCCTGCATACAACCTGAAAAAACAAAAAACAAAACAAAAAAAACAAACAAAAAAAAAACAAGAGGAAATTACAAACTTTGAAAATAAATCTGACACAAGCTACTTCCCATTTTGAAAGGATTAGCTGAATAGCAGAGATGCAAATAATATTAGAACAAAATAATCTGTAGAACAGATGACATATCCAAGTTCAGCTCTCTATCTCCCTTTTTAAGTAGTATTCAATTCAACAAAAACTTCAAATTACAAAAAAAAGTGTATATAATCCCGTAAATCTTTAGAAATGAAACCTATTACTTTTACTTAAACTTAAGTGACAAAGAGCAACAAGACATGAATTTTTATTGCAACTTACTTCCAGTCACTAAATGCAAAATATATACAGATCAACTCGAGGTATGCAATTACCTAACAAGATTCATTTTATTACATGTAAATTACCATATATTAACAAGCTATATACAAGACGAGTTGGAGATTATTAATAGTGGGAGGGCACTAAACAATAAAAGGAATCACAAAGGATTCGTATACAAGGTGAGATTTTAGTTGTGACTTAGAGGAAGCCAGGGAAGTCATGACAGAGATGAGGAGGGAGAGAATGTAAGGCACGGAGAACAGCCAGGAAAATACCTGGGGTTGGAAGATGGATGTCTTATTTAGGAACAGGTCATTTTCACTGGACTGGAAAGTACATGGTGGGGTAAAAAGAGTGGAAAAGTAGAAAGGTAGGAAGGGGTCAGGTTATAAAGACCTTTAAAACCAAACAGAGGGCTTTATATTTGATCCTGGTTAATAGAGAGCCACTGCAGTTTTATTGAATGGGGTGGAGGAGGGAGTGTTATGGTCAGACTTTCAATTCCGGAGGATCACTTACACAACTGAATAAAGGACAGACAAGAGTGGGGAGAGATTTGAGGCAGAGAAACTAACCAGCAGGCTGTTACTTTATAATAGTCCAGGCATGAGTTAAAAGGATCAGCTTCAGTGGTAGACAGAGGAGAAAAAAGGGTATATGTAAGAGATGTTATAAAGAGTCACAAAGATTTGGCCACAGATTAGATACAGGAGGTGGTGAAAGTGAGGAGTAGAGGATGATACTTACATTAGGAGCCTGAATGACTGGAAGGATAGTAGTACCTTCAACATTAAAAGTTAGAAAGGGGAGAATCTAGGGAAAAGATGAGTTCACTTCTGGACATGGTGAGTTTTAGGCATCTAGAGATGGAGGTTAGGGATATATAAGTAGATTTGAAAATCATCAGCACATACCGCCCCCTCCCAAAAAAAATCATCAGCATAAAGATGGTAACTGAATTCATGGGAGCTGATGAGATCATCAAGCAAAACAGTATAGAGGATGAAGAAAAGAGGGCCAATGACAGAGCTCTGGGAGATACCCGCTGTTACTTCCTATTAAACCTCCTCCTCTCTCATTTTGGTTTCCTATAAAATAGTTTAAGGCCTGAAAGTATGTTTGCCACTAATCGTACTAGTATGTTACTTTACTTTCTTGTAGTTTATTTTTTCAAACAAGTTCATATTGAGAACACTGTATTATGCTCTGGTAGTACTTTAAAAAACATAAATCTTGGACCCAGCTCTCCAGCAAGTTAAAAGTTAACATCAAAAATTTTGTGAGGCTTTTGTAAATAAGAACATCAAAGTGCAAAATGATAAACCATAAAAGCTTAGTAAATCAAACTGTATTTCCTCAATAGAATAAATTTTAATTCAAACATGATCAACATCAACTTGCCAACAGAGGATGAGGTAGAAAGCATTCTGTATAAAGCTAAGAGTAAATGTACAGTTATTTAATCTAGAGCTAACGTTGTAAGAAATAACTGAAAACAGGAAGTTATCTGCTAAATGTCTCCCAGAAGGGTGGGGACTTCATCCTCTGCTGAAAATAAATGAAAAACCATTAAACAATGTCCACAAAATGGTTTCAACTTCTCATAAACTGCATGCATATACACATAAACACACACACGCACACATACACACACACACATATAAAACATTCGTTAAAGGATGAGTGATGTCCACCAGTCATTTGAAAATGTTATTACTAACCAAACAATAAAAGGGCATGTACTCAATTTATTTTTCTTGTAAAGTTACTGGACTCTTCATGAAAACTGACCATGGCCAGTGGCAAACATGTGGAAAGACTATGACTGTGGCAGAGTTATAGCTTATTGCTATGCAATGGAACAAAGTCAGATGGTTCAGAATAGAACTCCATCATAATACAGTAATTCAGATGTACTATATTAGTATTATATAATATATATAACAAATGCTATATAATATTAGTAACAACCTAACTTCTTATCAGCATTCTTCTGGTAATATATAGTTATGAGTCACAAAATATTCTGATCTCCTAAGAACTTAAACTGAAAACCACACAAAGTATGATGAAGAGACAAAAGGCAGAAATGGTAGGCTATAATGCATTATCAATGAGTAATTATACACGAAAAGTAATGAAAAAAATGTTATCAAAAAATTTATGATAGGAAAAAATTTATGGATGGTCACATGAGGAGCAAGAGGGACAAACAATGGATAGCCAATGTGCTCCAGTGGTATTTACCTAACATGAAGAGAATATGAGGACCACCCCGTGGAGGATGGCTACTGTGTGGTAATTTATGGAAAGACCATGAGATCAAGATTTAGAATTAGAAGGGACCTTAGAATTGAGTACAACCCCTTCATTTTATAGATGAGGAAAATAGAGGTTAAGAGACTTGTCCAGGTACCACAGCAAATGAGCCCAAGTCTTTGCACCTCCAAACTCAGCACACTATCCACTACCCCACGGATGAGAATTGAGTAGATATTTGGCAGGGTTTTGATATGCAATATGGAAGGGAATGGCCACCCTGATGATAGCATACAACTATTGGAAGTCATTTGTCAATTTCAATGTAAAAAACAATTCCACTACATTATTTAAAAAGTTTTAATAATATAGTGTGTTATACTTGTCTCTAAAGAAAGATGTGGAGTTAGGTATGGAATTTTATACACAACGTCAGATGTAACGACAACGTTCTCAGGTTTTGCTCAAGGTTGTTTTTCCTCTCTTTTTATTACAAGGAAAAATTCAATTGAGAGGGGAAATGTATTGGGAAACAAATGTAGTGTAAAAACAAAAAGGCATCATGACTTGAAAGAAACAAAAATACTCTGTTGTTCTTTGGTATGATGGTAATACTATTCTTTGTGTAATAATTTTTTAAAGAAAACTGACAATCTTCTCAAGTAAGTTTACTAAGGATTTAAAAGTAAAATCTAGATTCTTACTTACCTTCAGCAATTGCTCCTAAGACTAAGATGCCTGATTCTTTAACTACCCATTCGGGATGAAAAAGCAGTTCTTTCAAGAGGGGCAAAATATGTGGCAAAAGTTCATCACGAAACACATTCGCCAGGACATCTAGAGCGGCAGCAGAACACTTTCCTAAAGGAATGATTTAAATTCAGTTACTCAATAACACCACACAATATTCCTGACTAAAATTAGTGGCCAGAAGAAAAAAAGCAAGCATTACTTCATACGTGACATTGTTTCTAGAGAGAGTCATTAAATAATAAGAAAGCTCCTTGGGACAGAGTCCTACCAATTACAAAAAGAGTCCCAGAATCTACTATGTGCTTTCCAGTGGCTGAATCTAGCACAACACATAACACACAAAGGTCAATACACAAGAAAGGTCTTGCTCCTCGTTGAGATAAGTAATTAGCTGAACTCCAACTGGGGACAGCTTTTCCCCTGTGATTTCCATGCAAAAATACTGGTTATCAATGGCAAATTGTAACTGAACATGTGCTACCCCAATCAAATGTTCAGAATATGAGTATCTAAATATATTGGCAAAGTAGAAACATTACTATTTATTTCCAACATTCCTAAAGCTTATTAACACCAAGAAACTAGATGGAGCACTGAAATTGTTTAAGAAAAATAAATCACCAACAAAAGGATAAAACAGGCTAAACATATACTGTAGTTTTAAAGGTAAAGGAATAACAAAACATGCTACAGCAAAACTTGTTAAATGTACAACGTTAATCTATAATGCTAATTTTTTGTTCTGAGAGGCATGGAATCTAACTACAATTCAGTCACTAACCACAACTGTAAATCAAATGCCATGCTTCAATTTCCTCTTTTGTCAAATGGTAATACTCCACTTTACAAAACCTTGAAAAATATTGAATAACAAATCTACCCACTTCCCATAGTTTCTAATCAGATCCAAGAGAATAATGAAAAAGTACTTTTGGATTGTACATTATCTCAAAAAAGGTCAACATGACTACATCCGTAAAGATAACACAAGTCAGATCTGGAGGTAAACAAAATCTACATTCACACTGATACAAATAATTTTATTCGATATTCTATAATGCCTTAAGTTTAAGCATTACCAATTTTAGCTGCTCTGGGAACTAAACAGGTTCTTTAACTTCCCTGATTGTCAGTTTTCTTCTTTGTAAAATTGGGACATCTGAAATACCTTGCAGGATTATTGTGGAGAAAGTGCTTTGTAATTTATAAAGTGCTTTAACTGAGCAGCTACTACAGGAAAGTCATGACATTTTCTGCCTTACTTAGATTCCAGTCAGATATTGTATCATCATCATCAAGTTCATCATCGTCGTCGTCTTCTTCCTCAATTCCATCTTCATCATGCTGTTGAGCCACTGTCCGTGATCGATGAAAACGAGGCCTTATATCTTGTTCGCTATCAGGAATAGCTTCATCCTCTTCAACATCACCCTATTTTGCCAAAAAAAAAAAAAAAAAAAAAAAAAGCATTTCTTTAAGAACAATCTTCATGAGCTAAGACGCACATCAGTACAAATGAAACCTGTATATTTTATTTATTCGTTTCTTCATTTATTTACATATTATTCATATATTTCCAGACAGGTTGAAACTGTGCTTTATATCTACTTTGCAAAGAAGCACTTCTCATTTTGGGGGGGGGGGGGCACTTTTCACTTCACCAACATATTCATTTAATGCTACCTTGAAAACACCTGTATTGCCCTTCTGCTATCCACTTACTTGGTGGAATCACATCATTCAAATAGTTGAATGTGCTTAATAAGCATTTTATTCTACCTGATAAACAGCCAAAATAAAAAAAAAATGCAACCTCAACTCAAACATCACCTATTTTAACCCCAAGAGGCAGAATACTCTAGGCTATAAACCTCAAAACTGGACTGAAGATAAAGCTTAAGAAACTTGTCCTCACCAAGGAACATCACAGGCAGCATTTGAGGATGACTAACAAAAATACTTGGACTTGCCTTTCGTCTACTCTAGGTAACTGCATTTACCCACTGTCATACTGAACTTGATTATTCGATTCAATTCAAAAGGCATTTCTTAAAGCACTGATATATGGGTAACTATTTCAATAAAATTTAGCTTCCTTTCTAATACTTTATATCTTATTTTATTCAATTAAAAACATTCTGAAAGGGAAGGAGTTCATATGTTTCGTTTCAACAAATGTCAAAGGACATAACAAAAAAAGTTAAGAATTCCTGATTTAAATGAAATGATTAATCAAATATTCTAGCAAAAAAATGTTTAGTGTACAAGTGTGTAAATATGAGATCAAATTTTAAAGAACCAGATTATAATAAAATATACTTAACACTCTATAATGAATATAATCTAATCCTTCTATGATGATAAATTCTCTACCCCTCCTCCCAGGTTTTAAATAGTTAATTAAGTTACATCAGCTGAGAATGTTACAAGAGTGGAAAGACTAATGCAAAAATTACTATTCTGTGGTGCTAACTGACATTTATATTTTGAGAAAAAGCACCAACCAAAATAAAAATGGATAAACACTGCCAGAGCTTTCTTTATAAAGGGGCTACCTAGGCAGAAACCCATTATTTTGATACTTTGGATATGGTGAGAAACCTAATTTTCAAGCTCAAAAAAGTGAGTTTTGGGGATATTGACTCTGTAAAATGTATTTGTTTTGTTGTGATCTTACAACTAAAGGCACAAATTTTAACATAAAAGGACTACAGTGGCAATGGGGCAGCTAGGTGGCGCAGTGAATAGAACACCAGCCCTGTATTCAGGAGGACCTGAGTTCAAATCCGGTCTCAGAAACATAATACTTATTAGCTGTGTGACCCTGGGCAAGTCACTTGTCTAGCCAAAAAAAAAAGCTAATAAGCTTAATATACTAATTAATATACTAAATATACTAAAAACAATATACACAGAGGAATGACTGAAGTTGATGCATTCAAAGCAGAATCGAACTGTGCCCTGGAAGGATGCTGGAGGGACAAAATAAAGTCGTTGAATTAGTCTGTTGGTATTTTTTTTAAATTCCATGAATAAAGAGATATTAAAGGAGGGGCTGGAAAGGAAAGCAGACAGAAAATTTGTGTTTTTCAGAAACAATCTAAGAAAACAAAATAGCAGTTTGAACACAGACAGAACAGAAAAGGAAGTGAAGGACACTTGATAAATAAAACATGAACAAAAAAAAAGAAGAATTGGACCTATCCTCTGCTCCTTTGTGGGTTATCTTTTGGATGACTCATTTTCTATCCTTCTATATCACTCATCTCACCCCAACTTTTTTCACTGTCCTTATAAGCCACTTCTTCTACCTAGAAACAGTTTCTAAGAATATCCTACAGGGGGAAACTGAGACGACTTGTACAATACAGAAGTGTGAATAACTGCTCCCTAATTTTTCTTTGTTTGGATTTTTATATCTTACATTTTTTTTAAAGGGTGACTGTGCTGAGTCAGTGTTATATTGGAGTTCATAGCTTTTTATCTTTGATCCACGATCTTTAAACCAGGGTTCAACAAATGCCTGACACCAGGTAGCTAAGTGCCATTTCATCATATTGTCTAGTAAAGTGCAATTTATTCCTTCTTGCTCATGGACAGTAAGCTTAAAAAGTAGAATTCCATAGGGCCACTACTCAGTAGCTGTGGAGACCCACTTGAGGCCTTCCTTGGGCTTCTCGGCTGCCAAAGCAAGCTCAGGCTTGGGATCCTGGTGCAACACAAATGGAGGACCCAACCTGCTGCTTGTTTCTCACCCTTCACTTCTCCAGATTTTGTTTCTCTTTCTTAGGAAGATGAAAAGTTTACAAGGACCTCCACTTTTGGGTCTGAAGCCTAAATCCAAAGGCCAAGTATGGAGCTGTTTCTGCCACTCTAAATGTTTCCTCTTAAACAAAATAACCTTGCAAATTAAAATTCTATGGATTTTTTTCTAGTTTTCTTACAACAAAATTTCCAAAGGTAAAACTGAAAACAAAAAACTGCCCTTTAATTGGTACAGAGTAAATATACTTTTGGACCCTTAAAAAGTACAATGACTCAGAGAACATTATGAAGAATACAAGCGCTCAGAGCAGAATATCTGACATCCCATTTCTAAATTAGTATAATGCGAAGTCTGGATCTACAAAAGTCTAAATTACAGATTGGCTTTATCTGTGAATATATTTGACAGATCAAAGTTACTGAAATCACAGATAAAAAATAGATTTTAAAGAGAAAAGAGGCAAGCATTAAACTTTTATTGCATATAAGCTTATGTAACAAAAAACTAAACAGCTTTATTTAAAACATTTTTATACCAGTCAACTTATTTTTCAAACCCATTGCCTTAATGTGTGATTATCAAGATGTCTTTCCTACATACATAAAGAAATAGTTTGATTTTGTTACCTTAAGTAGAATAATATCTATTTCTGAGTACTTCATGCCATTTACTAATACAGGAATCAACCTATTAAAAAAATTGAGATAAACATGAAACAACAGATACACAAATTAAACTGTAGCTTTAAAAATACTCTGGTAATAATTTTGTACTAATTAACCTCTTCTCATAGGAAAACCAATATTAACACCCAAGGTAACATTTTATTTCAAAGTTTTAAACTTGATCATTAATGAGAAGATATGCAGTCCGTACTTGTGAATATTTGTTCCCATTTTGCTTATTCAGTGCTAATTATCACTAATAATCAAGTCTATTTCTTGAGGTCTCAATTTCATAGACTGTGGTGGCACATAAACACCCAGGCCCACCTCAGAGACTGCCCTTTTGTGGTATCTTTCTCCCTTCAAGATAAATTTGATATTTTCTCTTGCTGGGGGTGGAAGACAGAAGAATGAGGAGCAAATTTGGGAGATTTGCTCTTCAACAGAAAGGCCTTCAAACATTTAGATACTAGGAAAGAATACTTCTGTACACCTTAGCTAACAGAGCAAGAGACAAGAGGAAAAAACATTCATTTAACTTTTCTTGAATGATTTCTTAAAGAGATGGGGTGTTCAAATCAAACCCCCTCCTCAATTCAAAATAAAATGAATGCATTCACCACAATAAAGAGCTAATCAAGATTACTTCTGGATAGATATCTATAGCAACATAATTTGACCTATTACTTCAAACATAATAGAGCAACCCTTTAAATAATCAACAGGCACAGTAATTAAGATTTAGAACATAACTTTATAAGTAGGTCTCTTACAAAAAAGTTGTTTTTATTTTACCCATATTGTTCTGGTTCTATTTTAGTGCAATGTTCAAAATTTATTTGATTTGATTATCTAGTTAAGAGATTAGATTTGTATTTTTGAAACCTCTTTGATAAGCTACCTTTTATAAAGGCACTTATGACAACAAGAAAACTACTGTAGTGTCAGTCAAGCTGCTGCACAGAATGAGCTCAAGTGCCATCTAACGACCAAAAAGACTAAACGCTCTACTATGGAGAAGAGCTAAAGCTCTATTCAAATAGCTCATGGGGAGGACTTAAGAGCAGTAATCATAAAAATTCTCAAGGTTTTTTTTTATTACAAAATGCTTTAAATACAGATATGAAAGCATTCTGGGTTATCTAATACAACCTCCTACCCAAAGAAACAACCTCTAAGTGTTCAAATGGTAATCCAGCTTCTTGAGTACTTCCTAAGATTATGAAGTGTCTCTCTTAAAAGGTAATACCTTCTCTATCTTCAATAGTTCCATAATATTTCTCCTTATAACTGAACCCAAATCTTATTTGACAGAACAAATTCCACTGTCTTTAGTTCCATTTTCTAAGCTACAATAGCCCCATGATCCCTATTCTACATAGTAAGTACTCTTTAAATATTTGAAGCATAATTATCATTACCTCCTTCCTAAGTCTTTCCTCTTCTAAATAAATGTCCATTGTTCCCTTCAATCATTTCCTAAAGAGGGAGGGGGAGATCACTTTGTTCTGAAGAAGTGGAAATGTGTAAAAGGGTCTGTAACAGAGCCCCTCAAGTCCCTATTCCTCCTCAACACTCTCAGTCCCAGAGCTAAGGATGGCGTAATGACAAGTCTCAAACTGCCTTTACTTAAAGCCCTGTTTCCAAAAGGATCAATGGAAATATTTGTATTATATGTAAACCTAGATTCATGTACCACCTGCACATAGCAGGCCTGTATAATAAAAGTTAACTGATTATAGGGTAGTAGAATTAGCTGGTGATCATGGCATGCCTTTATTAAATAAGCTTGCCTAGATTCACTAAAAGACAACTTTTGGTACTTTTTTTTTTTGCACAAGGTATGCTACAATACTAAGAAAAATGATCTTTCATAGAAAGCTCATACAATTAGACCTTGTTCACGTGGATTCATCCAGTCTAAAATTTGTGCAAGAATAAGCTTAAGCATACTTAGTAAGCTCCATAAAAAGTGCCAGGTAATAATTTTTAAAAAGCTTTTAAATAGCTGATAACAATTCTTTAAACTCCATATCACAAAGCCCTATCTACATGTTAAACAAGTGAAGTCATTATTCATTAAATCAAGCTACTTAAGACTTTTTTAACAATTTTTAGCTTTATATTCCATCACTATCTTCTATTCTTGTTCTTTAGAGGTGCGTATTTAATAGCTAGCATTTATGTAATGCTTTAAGTTTTGCAAAGACACTTACAAACATTAGCTCCTTTGATCCATATGACCCAGGGAGGAAGGTGCTATTTTTACGCATATTTTACAGATGTGATAACTGACACAAAGTTACATGGTTAGTAAGCATCAGGATTTGAAATCAGACATTATCTCCAGATCCAGCTCTATATCCACTGCACCACCTAGCTGCCTATATCAATGTCATGTGTTTAAGTCTACTCACATCTATGGTACACCTTCTGTTACTTTCTGCTGTTTTAAAAGCTAGAAATGTTTGTTTGGGTTTGTTGTGGAGGTGATTTCCCCCAAAGAACTTAAGATCATCAAAGATAGGAAGAAGTTCTTAACTAGGGGTCCATGGACCACCACGCCCCCCTCCCCCCGGTACCTGTGAATTTGGAGAAATTACTTTTTTCTTTTCTAACCTCTAACTGAAATTCAGCACTTCCTTTAATTATTTTAAACCATTATTCTGAGAAAGGATCCACAAGCTTCTCTAGACTGCCAAAGGGGATGTGATCATTCAGATCCTTGTGTGGAATAAGGCAGAAGGCCCCACTTATCTTGATTCTGATTCTTTGTACAAAGTATACCAAAAAGGGAGAAAGACATATTTGAGCTGTGGGATCAACATGGAGATAGCTCTATATGAACATTTTGAGGAGCTGCCTTGGGGGACCGTGATTTAAAGAATTAACAATTCTAGTGAGGGATAGAAGCAGCACTATAGAGAGATACTCTAAAAATGGAAAAAGTCCAGCTACTACTGTAAGTGTTATTTATTTTAATTTATTGGTATGGGGCCAAAAGAACAAACTGTCCAAAAATCATTTATGTCTGGAGGGGCAGCATGGCAGAGAAAGAGGATCTCACCTCAAAGTCAGGAGGACCTGGGTCCAAGTACCAACTTGGACATTAGTTCTGCAACCCTACTTTAGTTACAACCTCATGAGCCTCATTTCTGTCACCTGAAAAACGGAGATAATAGGACCCACCTTACAGGTTTGTTACAAGTATCAAATAATGTATAAAGAGCTTTGGAAACCTAAAAAGTGATAAATAAATGTGAACTTTTGGAGCACATGTGGTTTCAGAATGAACACTTGCCCATTCACTTGGAGGTGGGGCTTGTATTTAGGCTAGAATTAAAATGAACTCACATTCCCCTGAGTGCAGAGCCCAACACTTTCTGAGTAGAAAAGTGAAGTCAGCATACAATTAAAAATCACCACAAATCATTAGGAATAATTTACAAAGGATTTACATGTTACATACATACATCATCTCATTTAAAGGCTATTATCCAACTTAAAACATCTTCATGAAGAACTTGTCTTTTTAAAGTGCTTAAAAAGCAATTCCTTTTAATAATCAACCTACTAGTTTTCTAAGAACCATCGTCAACCTTATTGGCTTCCTGTTTGTATAATTCAGAATCCACCATATCCTCTCAAATCATCTCTTTGCATCAACAAATACTTTCTTGAAATACAACTTTTTTCACCTCCATCTCTCACTCAAGGATCTATAATGGCTTCTCATTTTCGACTGGATTCAGTCTAACTTCTTCATCGTGGTCTTCAAAATCCTGCATAATCTAGTACCACGTGATCCTACTTCTTGCCTATGAACAACCCATCAGACTGTTATCTTCATTGTCCCCTGAACTAACCATGCTTATTTTAACTGTCACACCTTTGTTTATGCTATTCCCTATTGAGAATGTCTCCTATTCCAATATACACCTACTGCTCTGGTTTGGCCAGTCACCTCGCCATTCCCTGCCCGAGCCGTTTCTGCTGACTGGACCTACTCCCTCCTTGTCCTCCCTCTTGACCCAGTTCAAAGGTCATGTATCATTCAACATCCATTCCAAGTTCCAGCTCTCCAAGGAAGCCTCCTACACTACCTCACAACAGCCTCTCCTTTATTTCAATACCTACAGAATTTGTTGTGCCACACATTTTGATAGTCTGTCTGTCTTGCATTATTCCTTGTTTCACATTTGATTAAATGATGTACATAGCAGTGTGTTAAGTGCTAAGGATACAAAGGCAGGAACAAAACAGTTCTCTCAATGAGTTAGTATTCTACTACATATATATGCTATATTCAATAATAAGCATAATACCAGAATGACAGAGGCAAAATAGATAGCCAGCAAAAGTACTCTAGAAAGGTTAGAGGAAGAAGAGAAATGTTTCTCTTTTGGAAGGAGGAGATGGGAAGGAAGGGGAAGGCACACAAACTAGGAGTATTTTGAGCAAAAGTGTTTAAGTCCAGTCTGGCATTAACATTTTTGCACATCTGGACTGTCTATATTAAGGATAATTATTAAAAATACCTTAAATTCATTCAAGAACTCCAAAATGAACAAGGCAATAATTACTTCGACTCAAGTATTAATAGTGCGCAGAAATTCCACCTACTTAGAAAGATGTCTACAGAGTACATCTTTGCAGATTGGCTGTTCGGCCAAAGTGAGCCAAAATTCACAAGCTTCCAAAGCCACATTTTCATCGTGATCTTGGGTCCTCTGAAGCATGTACTATAAAATAAAGGAAGTTCATGAAATATTAGCTTATGCACAGTTAAAAGCCAACGAATAATGATATACAGAAGCAATACTATCTGAGTGAATCTGGTCATATCACAACTCTCTGGAACTCAAGTTTTCTCATCTCTAAAATGAATGGGGCCTGTCTGGATGCTCTCCTTAGTCTCTTCTCCAGTTCTAAATCTAAATTAACTGTTGTGGAGATGTTTGTTCTAATGCAAATGCACCTAGAGGTAACATGGGGCAGTGGGAAGACCTCTCTGGATTTAAAGTCAAAAGAAAAGGGTACTCCCAGCTGTTTCCATTTCTGATGACCTTGTATAAGTTACTTACCTTTTGACTCAGTGAACAGGTAATTTCTAAAGTTCCTTCCAACACCTATGTCCCACTTCATATTATGCAATGTCCCTGAATTACTGTGTATATGGATTTATTTTTTAGGAAATAAAATAGTACTTCAATTGAGCTTGCTACCATTGTTACTTTTCATGATAAAAATACTCTATAACATTAATAACAAAATGCACCATTTGTTTATCTTTATATCTAAATAAAAAATACTCACCTTCTCATACATAAGAATCACGAAACACCTCAAAATTATTCCCTTACTGTAACATTTAAAAACAAAAAGTGGAGTCTCCCTCTGTCTGGGCTGGAAATGCAGTGTGCCTGGCCCCATTCTGATTGGCATGGAAGCTTTCACAAGCTCCATTTCACTTTCGCCTCTCCTTAGGCAAGGTAGTGTATTTCAGGCATCCTACTCCCCTCTCTACCCCGAAATACATCTTACCACTGCTGCATGAAAACTCATGTTATCACTGATGCCGAGTATAAAATATTTAACAAACCAGATCTGTGTTGGAGGAGCATTCCTGGGTTACCAATCCCAGTGCTCTCTTCCTCTCTATACCCCAAACAAAACTACTCAAGATATCCATTCCAACCTCAGACATCTTAAAAACAAAAACAAACAAGTATAACAAAAACAAAAACCCACCGTATCTGTTTCTCAGAATTTTCCCTCCCTAAGAAATCATTTAGTGGATTTATCTCATAACCTCCACTGAATTTTGAATTTTCATGTCAGTGCAACCCTGGACAACTACTGACATCTGTCTTTTCAAATCCTGTTGGTGTGTTTCTAAAGAAAACCTTCATCTGAGCAGACTTGGATAACTACCAGTTATTCTTTTAAGAAACTGCTTAGCAGTCCTACTTTAATCAACTCCCTGAGTCACTCCACAAGTAATTTTCGAAAGTTAATAAGAAGTCCTCAAATCTCCCTATTCTAGCCCTTAGCAGTCTACAGGCACATATTCAATGCCTCTTATGCGCCAGGTACTGCAATAAGAATTAGGTATTCAAATAAAAATAGCTAAAATTTAGATAGTGCTTCACTGTAAGCAATGAGCTTTACAAATATCTGATTTGATCCCCTCAACAACCCAGAGAAGTAGGAGGGGGATCAATGATCATTTCTATACTGACAACTCTCAGAGCCCTAACCCTCAAACTAGTGTCTTTAATTACCTACTGTACATCTCAGAACTGGATGAATTGGACATCTTGTACTCTTGTACTCCTATCATTTGAGCACCTTCCCACCCCCAGCATCCGATCTGCTACCAAGGCTTGTCAATTTTACCTTACCCTTTTAACATCCCTCACATATGCCCTCTTCTCTCCTCAGACACTACTTCTACCTGATGCAGGCAGACCCTTCATTTCACTCCTTGACGATTATAGTGTGGTTGGTCTCTCTCCGCTCTAGTCCATCACACTCAGCTGCCAAAGTGATCTTCCTGAAGTGCAAATCTGGCCATGTTAGCGCCCCCCTCCCCCTATCACCTGCAGGACAGAATATAAAATTCTGTTTTATTCTATAAACTGCCCCCAGCACCCCCGTTTCCAGTCTTCTCACATCTTACGGCCCTAACCTCCCATGACTCAACGGGCTCACTGGTCTCCTTGCTATTCTTCAAGACGCTGCACCTCCCAACTCTGGGCACGTTCAGTGGCTGCTCCCCATGCCTGGAAAGCTCTCCTTCCTCATCTCGGCCTCCTTGGCTTCCTTCAAATCCAGAAACCTCACCATCTTCTACAAGAAGTCTTTCCCAATCCCTCTTAATTCTAGTGCCTACTCTTTGTTGATTATTTCCAATTTATGCTGTCTACAGCGTGTTTGTACCAAGTTGTTTATGTGTTGCCTGCCCCATTAGATTGGAAGTTCCTCGAGGGCAGGGCCCATCTTTTGCCTTTCCTTGTATCCTCAGCACTTAACACAGCACCTGGCATACAGTAAGCATTTAATAAATATTTTATGACTGACTTCATGCAGATCAAGTTAATACAAATCTTGTCTCATCTCTCCATCTACCTGTATCCTCATTTATACTTAAGATTATCTCATCTTTTGAAAGTTACCTTCCTCATTTGTGCTTTGAGTCCCATTACTTTCCAGTAGAGAATTTTGCTTCTACAAGTTTGCTCTACAGCCACTCAACTAACATGAACTTCTGTGACCACATAGCTATTTTTAAAGTGCACACACAACTACAACCAGAACTACTCACAATATAAGATAGACATTGATATCACATTAAACTGAGATAAAGCTGAAATAATAATATAAGAAGTAGAATTTTCCTGAATGCATATCAATAACTTTAAAATTATCATGATTAACATTAAATGGTTTGATTTACATGTGCATGGCATGATAGTGAACGCTATACCAAGACCTTTTAAAAACTGATAATAAAATATTTGAGACTGCTGACTTAAGTTATATCCATGCCACCCAAAAACTCCTTTATGATAAACCACACATATATATACATCAAATCAACTGTACTGGCTATGACTAGGAAATATAGTCAGTCACTAGCTTTAATCACAAACATATCTGACAACAGATAATGTCATAATCTTAATTCTAAATAATCATTCTGAAAACCTATAATCCACCCCAGTAAGAACTTCAATTAAAAATTAAAATAAACTAGTATGTTCTTTATTATCTAGTTTAGGAACCAAATTTAAATGTAAAACCACCTATTTTATGAAGATCATGAAAAAGTAAAGCTAACTAGTCACAGTATATCCAAAAGAAAACATTTCCAGATTACTTTTTTAATTAGGAAAGGGAAGTGACATGATTAAATCATAATTAATAATTACCTCAACTATATTATGCATATGAGGAAGCAGGCGATCCATTCGGACTTCAAGTAGCATCACGAGAGCCCGACACACATTTTTACGTACCTCTGGCTCTTCATCACCAGCCAATGCAAACAGATTCTATCACGTGAGAAATAAAATTTAATTTTTTTAAAATCCCCAAACAGAAGTAGTTTGTATATAACCAACTAAATTTATACCTAAATGAAAATTAAATTTAATTAAGTACATTCAAATACACCTAGTGAAGCACTACTGTCTTCATTATTGCTATCTCCCTCTGCTGAGCTTATCCAATTTTACACCCTTGCCATCATACTGACAATTTTCATCTCTCCAAAGCATCCTAATGTGTACTTAAAAAAAAAACAAACAAACAAAAAAACACAGGTACGCAACCTAAAACCTATAAAGAAAATTCTATTTTATCATCTATTTATACCAAACATTGAAGATCTTCCCTCCAGACCTAGACTGCAATTGTGTCTAATGCGCAGTCTTAACATTGTTTCCTGAAGCTCAGAAAGGTTCAGTAACTTACTTGCCTATGGTCACACAGCTAGTGTCAGAAATGGCATTTGAACCCAAGTCCCTATACTGAATCCACTGTCATACGTTCACCTATTTTTACAAATGAGATTACTGTGATGTAGAAGTGGTACAGGAGAGAGGAAGGAGTGTTAGATGTGGTATCACAAAGTCTGGGCAGAAATACCACCTGTCACTCTCTGTGTGACCTTGCACAAGTCACAACCTCTCTGGGTCTCAGCTTCTTCATTTGTAAAACAAGCGTTTCAGGACTTTATGACTTCTAAGATCCTTCTCAGCATTAAAGCTATATCCTAATTCTTATTAAACATACAGACCAATAAACACTTCATAAAAACAGAATCCTAGGACAATTAACAAATGTGACATGTACATTATTATGATCACTTTTGAACAAATACAGACTAATTGAAGATTTTATAACATAAAATATTAAGCTTGGCTCAAGGAATGCAGTACATTCTCAGTTTAAAACAAACTAATAAGAAACTTAATATCTTTTAGGAGTAACTAATGATGCTTATGTTTTCACTCAATCAAGACTATTTGCTGGCATCTGCCACACAACTCCATAAATCAACACATATTTTTGTTACTTAACTTGCAACAAAATTAAAACAATGTGTATGGCTGTTCTTATATGGGCACAATGAAAACAGTTATAAAAATAATGCAAAATACAATAGCTTCTATATAGGAATGATTTCTAAAACCAAACTTAATACATTAAAGTGCTAGCAAATAAAGAATTTGCCACAACTTTGTTGGAAAGCCTCACATTTTCTGATACTGCAGCTTATCGACATGTTCCCTAAAATGTGGTACTCAGAACACAGATAATCAGATCACTCTGACAGTGTACAGCAAATGTTAGAGTCAGCACTTCTGATAACCAGTTGACTAGTATAGTATGGGTATTTTCATTTACTTTTATTTTTCATTAAGTGGATGATGAGAATATTTCCCCTACAACCAACAGACCAATGAACCAGTAGAAAAGTACATAATGTTCAGGAACTGTAGAAAATAAGAACTAGTCTTTGTTTGCAAAGATACTGCAGACTACATAAGCACCACACACACTGGCCATGTATATAATTTGTGGCAATTAGAGACAAGAATATGGATGAGAAGTGATTTTTTATCCTATTCCTATAGGAAATTCCCCCTACTAATGCAGGTCGGCATCATTTATGAAATTTAAGAGTTTCAGAGAATTACCTAAAGCTATGAGAACTAAGTGATCATAATTACAATTCAGTCTGTGTCAGCACTGTGGCAGGGCTTGAATCTGGTCCTCCAGGCTTTGAGGCCAATTCTCTCTCCACTATACCACACTGAAGAATTGTGCCAAATTCCTTACTTGACCCTGTTGTGTCTAGTTTTGTTTGGGAAGCAACTTCTTATGTGTATATCCTATGATATCTTAACACAGAATTTTTCTAAATAGTTTCAGGTTACTCAATAAAAAGAATAGCGAATATCTCATTTAACAATGCCAAATAAAAGTAGCTTAGTACTTTAGTTATGTTGCAAAGTCAAGAAATAAAATTAGTCATTGTTAATTGATAGGCCATTAGTAAGTTGGAGAGAAAAGCTTGTTGAGAAAAGATGGGTATGCATGAAAGGCCACAAAATCATGCCAAGGGAACCAGTTGAAGTAACTGGGGGGGATTTTAGTCTGGAAAAGTGTGTATGGAGTGAAGGGAGGGGAGAAGGATGGCACAATCCATAATCTCCAAATACTGGAAAGCCTCTATAAGTGTTAGAAAGTCAGTCACAAGGAAAGTAATGAGCTGCTTCTGCTTGGCCCCAGAGGCAGAAGTAGGAACAATGGGTACATGTTATAAATAGGCTTGAAGTAAAGGCTGAACTTAAAACAACTGGAACCATTAAAAAGAGAAATGGGCTATTTCAACACGTCCAACTTCCCATCCCTCAAAGTTTTTAAGCAAAAGTTGGATGACCATTTGTTGGATATGCTATAGAAAAGATTCCTGTTCAGAGATGGGCATTTTCATCTCCAACAGGTTTTCTTCAATACGTGGTGAGTTAGCAAAAAATAAGTTAAAAACTTGTTTTTAAAACATCATGAAAATAATATTTCATAATTGTTTTCCTTTGTAATCTTATGTTATTTTATGCACTTAATGTTATTATTCTGAGAAGTCTATAGGTTTTTCCAGCCTGCCAAAGGGATCCCTCCCAAAACACAAAAAGTTAAGAATCCATGTTCCATATGTGTCACCAGTTTTCCTACTCTTCCAATTTCATCTCCGTTCATTATTACTTCACATAGTACAAGCACATACAGAGTAGGATACTAGTGCAGTAGTTCCTATTGAAACAAAGGTGATATGAAAGTTCATGTATTAAGGTTGAGTTACTTTGGAGAGAGTGGGATTGATAATTAGGGAAGGCCACATGGAGGAGATGGCACGTGAACCAGGCCTTGAAGAACAGGCACTCTAGGCATAAGGAACATGGTTGTCAGCAAAATTTTTGAATGTCTTTAATGAGAAAAACATGAGTGAGTTTTAGGTCCTTGAGGCTTTTTATTAAGATGTGTACATTTTTATCCTCTACTAATCCTAATAGCTGCCTCCCTTCTGGAAGATGCTCTCAGATCACTAAATATTAACTGCGACAACTCTTTTGGATTCTTTCTTATAACTTGTCCTACTCCCAGTTTTGAGGTCACTTACTTTGGTTCTGGACTGTTCCAAGTCTCTGATGCAGTTGCAACCAACCACTTTGATTTAACCAAAATGTTTATTAGATGCAAAATATTGTGCTATCCCCTAGGGTTATAGTCCCTTCCCTCAAGGAGTTTACAGTCTACTGGGTTTACAAGATATGTAATGTTAAGAAAATTAAAAAAAAAATTTTTAAGTGGGATAGATTAATAATAGGGGAATTGAGAAAGGCTTCTCAAGAGAAATTAGTACGTGAACACTGCCTTGAACTAACACAAAAATTCTGAAAGATGGAGCTGGGGCAAGAAATTCAGTCAAAATTAGAGTATAACTAGCAAACCAGTTAGTCTGGAATGCACAATGTAAGAAAGGAGAATTATGTGTGGGAATAATATGAAATAATGTTGAAGTGTCAGTTATAGAGAAATCTTTAGAATAAAGCTGAGGAGGTTGCATTTTAAACCTGCCTGAAGTAATAGGGAGCTCCCAAAGGGTTTAAAGACAGGGAGCAGCACATTCAGAGCTCTGCTCAAGTAAGATTACTTTGGCAGTGTTGGAGAAGACACTGAAGAGGAAAGAGAGTAGAAGCTATGATGCCCAATTAAAGAGTCTTTTAAACATCATAGCATGGCACCTAAACTTTAAAGAGAAAAGATTGTGTATTTCCAAATGGCCTAGCAAAAGTAAGGTTGTTTCTTTTTGCACTTAAATAATTTTGCTGAAAGGTTATTCTTATTATTATTTTTGGCTAGGCAATGGGGTTAAGTGACTTGCCCAGGGTCACACAGATAGTATTATGTGTCTGAGGCCGCATTTGAACTCAGGTCCTCCTGAATCCAGTGCTGGTGCTCTATCTACTGCGCCATTGAGCTGCCCCTGAAAGGTTATTTTTAATGGAAAAAGAGGCCATGAATCCATGATTCTTATAGTGCTAAGAGGGCTAAAACAAACAATTATTTAAGCCATCAAGAAAACTAGATAAAACTCCTACAAATAAAAAGCCTTACATGCCACTCCATCCCTGTTGAATGAAACAGCTTTACATATTATATACATACACATATACACACACACATATATACACAGCTTTATATATATCTATATATAAATAACTTTCCCATGCTCTTAGGAATTAAGGTAATATGCCAATGAATATAGACTATTTAAAAAAAAGAATGTTGTTCTGTTCCCACAGTAAATACATTACTTAGTCTTGTAACTTGAGGAAGCTGCGGGGGGGCGCCCTAACCTCTTGCCATCTTATTCCTGTTGCTGTCATTGTCCAAGTACCTGGTTTCCCTTAACGGGGCACCCAGGTGGTGCAGTAAGTAGAACACCAAACCTAGACTCAGAAAGACTCGAGTTCAAATCTTCCTTCAGACACTTACTAGCTGTGTGATCCTGGGTAAGTCACTTAACCTGTTTGTCCCACTTGCCTCATCTGTAAGAGGGGGATAATAGCATCTACCTTTTAGAGTTGTTGTGAAGGTCAAATAAGATAGTAATTGTAAAGCGCTTGCTTACACAGCGCTTGGTACATGGTAAGTCATAGTAAGTACTATATAAATATTAACTACAACTACAACTATGACTACTACCACACGTATTAGGGTACATCTGTAGTAAATAATACCTTATTAATGATCGACATTTTCACAAATTCAACACAAAGCTGCACTTAACGACCTCTTTGACATAGTAATAGCCTAAAATGAAAATAACTACAAGGTTAAAAAATTTTAACTTATGAATATTCACTGATGTTCACGTATATTTCTTTAATATTCACTGACTGTGGTATGTGAACTACATTTTGGTTTGTCCCCTTTAAGAAATCAGGTTGTACATGACTAATGTGAAAATGTTTAATATGAATGTATATGTAGAGATTACATCAGATTGCACGTCGTCTTGGGGAAGGGGAGAAAATTGAGAACTCAATCTTATGACAGTGAATGTTGAAAACTAAAAATTAATTAATTAATTTTAAAAAGGAAAGAAATCAGGTTGTAAAATTCAGAGTGATCTTAAGAGAGAATCAGATAGCAGAGGTCAGACACTGTAATAAGACTTCAACATAAAAAGCAGCTCAGATGGTGGAAATATGAAAACAAACAAACAAACAAAAAAACAACTCCCCCCAAATCCTTGCAAAACCCAGACAGTAGAACTGAAAAGATTTAGAAAAGTCAAGAGTTAGGCCAGGCCAACTGAAAAGCCAGTACAGTCTTTGTTACTCCAAGTAAACAAGGACAGTATTGGAGACTTCCTTCTAACTACTTAACAGCTAAGATTAAGCTGAAAGAGTTTAAGCTAAAGTGACACAGGAGGGAGGTGGAGAGAATGAAGCATATAAACACTTGGGATAATGATTAGGAACTGAGCTTTACCACAGTTAACATTCTATACACACTTTTCACTTACTGTGACATGGTACTGGAAAGTTTATATTTTAAAAGTCAGTTTAGCTAGTTTGGTTGCTTTAAATTATTTTCTTTATGATAGACCTTAGTTATCTAGAGTATACTTTACTGATTTTTTAAAAAAGTTTTTCCAAAGCAGAAGCTAAAACCCTCAAGGCCTGCTAAACCACCCCAAATAGATACTGCTATTTATTCCATGGTAGCCACCAAAAACGACAGGAGAATTATAAAGGAACTGAGGGTCACTAGGTGGCACGCTGGGATGGAGTGCCAGGCCTAGAGTCAGGAAGACTCATCTTCCTGAGTTCAAATTTGGCCTCATACACTTACTAGTTGTGTGACCCTAGAAAAGTCACTTAACCTGTTTGCCTCAGTTTCTTCATCTGTAAAGGTGGCTGAAGAAGGAAATGGAAACCCCCTCTAGTTACCTCTGCCCAGGAAACCCCAAATGGGGTCACAAAGAGTTAAGACACTGAACAACAGAAAAAATGAATACGATAGTTACAGCACCAGAATCCCTAAGAACTGCTCCAGCTATTTATCCCCATGTTCTCCTGCCCTGCTACTCAATATTTTAAAGAAAAACTGTTTTCCAGCTTTAACATTCTAATATTCAATGATCAGAACAACCAAAGTGATTATTCAGGACATTTCTGTGAATAACGAAAGCCAAAAAATTAGTCTTCTGTCTAATATCTATGGGATAAATCAAATAAATGGATTTAGTAGTACCAATACAGGATCCTTCAATGAAAGGTTGGAAACTTTACAATTAATTTCTCATGGAAATGCCTTTGCAAAAGGCACAAGTAGGACAGTGCACAGATCCCACACTGTAATTCCACTTCTCATCTTTATCTTATTTGTAGTACAATATTAAATTTACTTTACCAAATATTTCTCTAAATTTTATCAGAAAGTCACTTTTTCTTTAAATGTCATTTCTATAGTATTTCCTCCTCCCCACTGCCACCTGATGCATAACTAATTTTAAAATGCACATCAATGGAAAAATTGGATTCCTTGGACCAAATTATTATTCCTTCAATTTGGAGTCTACAGTTCTTATTAAAAAATAATCTATATGCAAGGAATTAGGGATAGACATGGGTAAAGAAAAGTATCAATTACAATTTCTATGAGCAACCTTAGGCACATATGTGAAGCAGAAAAAGATTTAATTAGCCATATTATGTATTTCTAAAAATACATGAGACTTCACTCACAATATTTTAAGATGAATGACCAAATTCTAATATAACATAGCTACAAGTTTCGCAAAATTATAAGAAAGAAGTTATACAATGCTAGTTTTTAAATTTTTAAAAAGAACCATGTTCTTCTTTGTATTTTTCCGATTTTAACTACGGTAAAGAAAGCATGAAAATATTTACAACTAAATAACCATTACATTTTTTGTGCAATTATAAAGAAGCAATGCTAAATCCATTCAGTATTACTATGCACACTTTAAAAACAAAAAAATAGCTTACCTCAATAAAAGAATCAATGTGTAACATCAGAGCTTGGGTTCTACTGATGATAAATTGATTGACACAAGCAACAGCATGAGACCTAGAAGTATAATGTAGAAGTTTAGAAACATACTTTCTGATAGTATCAGAAACAAAAATAATAATATTATAGCTCAATACTGCATTTTTAAAAGAAATTCTCGTATCTCATTAAATGACAACGTTTTAGCGTGTAAGCTCGAAGGTAGATAACCTACTCAACTTTTTGGATACATATTCTACTCTAAAGCTATCAAAGAGTTTGTGGTTTTAAAAAACATTAAGCAAAAATTGTAGCTCATTTTCTCAGTTTTTTTTTAAATGGCACAGAACACAAACTTAATTAGAAATCACTGACAAGCATAAAGTATCCTGATACTACTGACTGGAACACAGACATCTTTGAGCTGTAAAGGACCTTAGAAGCTGTCTAGTCAGTCCAATTCTTTTATTTTACAGATGAGGAAACTCAGTCCCAGAAAGTTTAAGTAATCTGCTCAAGGAGGCAGTGGCTAAGCTGGAACATTTCTTCCAATTCCTACTCATGTTCTTTCTATAAAGTTCTAATTGCAAAGTTTCTTTCTAAAAATTTCAAATAACATCAGAGTTGTCCAAAATACCCAAAAGACTATAAACAGCTAAAATGTCTTGAGTGTGGGAGAATAACTCCAAGCTCTAACTCTATTATCATGTTGTTTTTTTGGGAAGGCTCCACTTTTTTAAATGGTCCACTGATAATTTGTACCCTGTCCCCTCAAAAAAGCAGGAGGTGGGAGAAAAAGCATACTTATCATTAGCATTTATTAAAAGCAATTATGAAAGAAAGCTTAATATTTCTAAGTGCAATTAAAAACATAGGGATGGAGTAAAATCATAAAGTAAACAGCTAAAATGAATAGCTAATTCATGTTGTCACTGGCCCACATAAACATATCTATATTTACAACTGGAATAGTTTTAATATTGTGCATGCTTGTAGAATGCAGCAAGGACTGCTATTTATGTTAAGTGAATGGTTGATCTGTTTTCTCTTTCTAAAATACTTATCTATATGGCTAACCAACCTAGTCAATACTTGTAGTTAAAATCTTAAATCTCACTATTTTCTCTGTAATACTGTTGGAAAAGTACAGTAAACATTGTTTTCTTGCAATTTATTGGCTGTTTGATGTCATTTCTGACACTTCTGGCTGCCAGCAACGATGTTCCAAGATCTAAGAATACAGACTAAAGGATAATTAGTTTCTCCCATCTGCAAGGGGGTGGGAGGTAAAGAGATATTTACCATACAACAGTGAAATGCAGTGTGTGTGAGTGTGTGTGTATAAATTATATATATATGTGTATATGTATAAACAATTTCCCCCTATCATCTTCTTACAGTTTAGGAAGTGAGATAGCAAGGCTAGCAGAGCAATGAATTTAATAGCTAAATGTAACTTTCAATAATCATTTCTTTTACCATAATCCAATGTCTTTGTACTTAGCAGTTCAAAATACTATCATTAAGGGGCAGCTAGGTGGCGCAGTGGATAGAGTACCAGCTCTGGAGTCAGGAGGGCCTGAGTTCAAATGTGACCTCAGACACTTGACCCTTGACCCTTACTAGCTGTGTGACCCTGGGCAAGTCACTTAACCCCATTGCCTAGCCAAAAAATCAAGAGAGATGGATTAAACAGAGTACTGGGAGAGGGAGTAGAATACAAAAAAGATGGTAGAGGCTGAGAAACTAGTGAAATTTTTACGTTTTTTTTTCCTAGAAGACTCACAAAGCAATACTGGTTTGATGCCTCACTGTACATTGTTAAGAAGGCAGGAAAGATGGAGGTAGGGGTAGGAAGATAATCTGGAAATAGGAAAAAAATTTTATAAATCCTATGCTTTAAGAAAATAAAAGGGCAGGAAGTTTTAAAAAAAAAAATAGCTTTCCATTAACCTAGATTAAAATTTTGACACTTTTGGCACTGAAAGTGTGTTAAGTTTCCACTATCTGGAGAATTCATTTATGTGGAATAATTTACTCTCCCAGGAGATATGAACACTTAAGCAACAAAAAAAGTAGTAGTGATTAATTCTGATAAAGTGAAACAAATTTTCTTAAAACTTCAATACTATATTTAGATATACCTTATTTTGGGACTACTGTGCTTGAAGAACTGTAAAAATTTAGGAATCATGATGTTAAGTGGACGGTCTAAAACATCACTATCTAAAATTTCAGCAGAATCTTCACATATTTTCTGAAGGGCTCCAAATGCTCCCTGCAAAAGACACAAATTCAAATATTAAAATTAAAACTATTTTAGAATGAAATATATGTATGGTTAAAAATTATTATTTTGACACAATGTTTCTATCTTCAAGTGTAATCATCATATTTCCTTCTTTTATAACCTAAAAGGGAGGAGTCTGAAAGCATTTATGGATTTTTAAGTTTACCAAAATAAAAAAATTTTCACCTTCATGAAGAATAATCTACCTTTACAACTTTCATTTTTCACTAAGATTAGTAAAACACTGAGGGGAAAAAAAACTTCTCATTTCACAGAAATAATAGTAAGTATTTAACTAAACGTTAAAATTAAAAGGAACTTTCAGGTTGAATTAGATACAAATCAGCAGCCATTAAAGAATAATAATGTAGAATTTTTAACTTTCTACACACTATGTAAAATCGTATGTATTCCATAATTCACACATGACAATTCTAGTTCTAAGTGACATTTTTAAATCATCTATATGTATTTACACTTCCAAAAGGCTATCCTCTAATTCTTTTCCTTTATAAGGAATATAATTTTTTCTTTATATCTTTAGTATGCAGGTTCAACTTATTGCCAAATGTATTATTAAGTATTCAATAAAAGCACAGGAATTACTTTGAAACATAAGTAAATGTTTCTACTAAACGAGTCTGTTATATAAAAGAAACTTAACTTGGTTTAAAATCTCTTTCTGACATAATTTGGGAATGCTAAGTGAATTTGGTTCAGGAAATAAATGACTCCTGAGAAAAACGTTTTATCAAAATAGTAAGAAACAGATTTAAATATTTCTGCCCAGAATATTTGCTACATCTAAAATAAGGCAAAGTATATCCCCTAGGACACCCTATAGGAAGTTGAAGGAGGGTGGAAAGGTCACAGTGTTGAAGATGGTGTGTATGTGCATACACTTGTAGCTAAAAAAAAAAAAAAAAAATTTAATGGCTCTGTAAAACTTTCTGCTTTTCAGTCTAACCTAAGAAATTACATAAGTTAACATTAAAACTAAAATTAAATTTTGTTGTATTTTGTACAATTTTAGACAACAGATTATAAAAAGAAAAATGGATTCAGATCTCAAGTAGAATAAAATGCTTTTGGTACAAGTATATTTCAATTCTGTTTAACTAAAGAAAATATTCAAAAGAAATGGAAAATCAAAAAACTAACTTCAGGTTTTAAAGTGGAAGAAATATTTTTAAAACAAATTTCAAAAGCATACTAGTGAATAGTAAAGTTAAGTATAATTTTAAAGTATTATATTGACAGACCTAACAACTTGTTTGACAATGGAAAAAAAAATCTAAATGTGATGTAAGAATCCTTACTTCACACGTATTATAATCTTCAGAATCCAACAAGCTACAGAGCTTTGGCAAGAGTTCAGGCCAGTTCTGTAATTCCCCTTTGGAGGCAATGGTTGTAATCAGAATACCTTGGGAAGAAAAAACAAATTTCTCTTTAGAAAAAGAAAATTCTCAGAGACAGGATTAAGTTATAGTTCTTTTCCTTAACATACATGCACTTGCACACATGCTCTCTCACACACACACTCACTCACTCACTCTCTCTCTCACCTGTCCTATATACAAACGACAAACTAAAAATACCATTAATGCTTGGAAAGAGAAAATGATAGGAAAAATGAGTTTTTGATGAAGTATATTTACCCTTTAAATATTTTTACCATTACCATATCAAAAATATTTACCATTTAAATATTTTCATTCTGCCACTAATCAAGTTATTATTTGCAAGGTAAAAAGTCCAAAGAACTCTATGTGACACCTACAGTAACAGAACAAGCAGTATGAGGGCCTTCCCTCTAATTACCATAGCTCTCTTTTCTCTAAAAATACACTCCTACTTGCAGAGGAAAAGAAAAAAAACACGTGGCCATGCCTCCAATTATTAACAGGTTCCATTCAGGTAACATTTTATTGTTACAATCATTTTAAAGATTTCTCCTTTGATCCTCAAAAGTTTGCTGTAGTGTGGTGTCACATACATCATACTCTTTTCAGAAAAATTCCTAACAAGTTCAGAAAAGTTAAATGTCCTGACCCCAAACTGCACAGCTGCTGAAGTGGCAGTTTTACCCAAGGCTAAAGCAGACCCTTCAAGGCCTGCTCCTTCCACTGTGTCACTGCCTCTGTGGCTGGCAACTGAAGGACTGTTTCGGTGCTATTCAAAATATAAAACTTACAAAAGACCAAATGTCTTCATGGGACATATTTCATTAATAAGCTTAGCTTCTATCATTGCCTTGTTTGCTTTAACAATGAGGTGAAGATATACTCCTTGAAGTCCACTAATTCGACTTTATCAGAATTTAGAAAAACCCCACAAGCAGCTGCTATGCTCAACTAGAATAATATTTCAGTAACTTAGTAATAATGAAAATGGCCTTCTTGCCTCCCATGTCTTCAAAATATTTGGTTGGTCAGTTAAATAGTAAGCTCCAAGAGCAGTATTCTAGCGTTTCGATCAGAAGATTTGGGCTCAAGGTCTGCCTCCAATGCATACCGGCTGGGCAAGTCACTTTATTACTCAAGTGCCCCAGATAATTCTCTAAAAGCCTTAAGTTGCAAAGACAACCTCTATCTGCATTAGCAGGGTACCATTTCTTACCAGGAAGCTCTTTATATGGATGAAATTACATGTCCAGAATCTCCTCTGCCGCCCCCACCCCCCACAAAAAAGATGAAGAGTTAGCTTATCTCAAATTATTCAATGATAGGAAAGAGAATTTGAAAGCATAAGAGTGTGCCAGTGCAGTTCATTTTACTCTTTTTGCACACTCCTCTCCAAAATCTTTCAGTAAGTAACAAGCACAGTGTGCCCTAAATTGTGATTTATCTTACCAACGTTGACTATAGCACAACTTTAATTCTCATGTTGATACACAGTAATGCTGCATTTAACCATGGACAGTTGGGGAATGTCATTAATCTTTTTATCTCCCTCATTACCTAATACCATGCATCAAACAAATGTCTGCTGAACTGAAATGCAACTTGCCATAAAAACAACTGGATTAATAAGAACATTCAGGAATTCATAAAAAGCTGGTCTCTTTTATGCAAATATCTTTTATGTAAAAAGCAAGCAAACAAAACTAAATGGTTTTAATTTTTTTCTTTGCTGTTTAGTTGTTCACAATAGTGTCCATCTCTGTGACCCTATTTGGGGTTTATTTGGCAGATGAAAAAACTGAGGCAAACAGGATGAAGTGATTTACCCAGGGTCATAAAGTTAGTAAGTGTGAGTCTGGATTTGAACTCAGATCTTCCAGGCCCAGCGCTCTATCCACTGCACTACCTAGCTGTCCCTTTATTTTAATTTAGCAAATTTAAAAGAAAGTAAGTCATGTTTACTTCTACCATTGAAGTCAATGGGAAGCAAACCATGCCCCTAACCCTCTTCCTGCCCTACCCTGCCCCTCCAAAGTGATCTTCCATTCCTTGGATCTGTCATGACATTCTTTGGACTTACCAAATTACTAAGTCATATTCTAATTTGCATTGTAGTTATACTCCTTGCCACTTCCACAGAATAAAGGCTTATTGAGGACAGTTTTCCAACAAACTCAATAAATTAACCATAGCTATGTGGAGAACACTTCCAACCAATTTACTCTAAAGAGTAAACAAAATGCTTTAAGAAAGTATGTGCTATGGTTAACTATATTTTATGGTTGATCAGAAAACTTCAAATTTTAATCCTTATTGTTAAAAAAAAACTTTTAAAGTTATATTAATATATTCATGTTTTAATAAGTATATGCCAAACAATTTAAGGTTAATTTCTATTTTAGTATCAAAGTCATCAATTCAAACCAATCAACTATCGCTGCAGAAGCAGCATGGTATAGTAGTAAGAGGTATATATGAATTGGACTCTAGTCTCAGCCCTGACATTTTACTGTGTGGTCCTAGTCCAGTCACAAGCACTGTAAAATTAGGCTAATAGCTGTTACACTGCCTAACAGGGTTATCATTAAATATATAACCTAAGCAAAAATGATCTTTAACACCTAAGTGCTATATAAATAAAATGGTATTAGTGTTACTGCATGATAATGTAAATGTATCAAGTACTATGCATTTAGGATGGCAGTTTAAAACCTTTATTACATACCCTGAAAATGTTTTTTCATTAAATTCTATCAGGTGTTTGCTGCTGTTGTTAATGTTATGACTGGTCTTTTCCTCCTAAATGGAATTCTAAAAAGAAATTAATCAGGCTTCTCCTGCAGTTGCTATTATGACATTTGTGTGGCTGAATGCTCATGTCATGATCCACTCTTTTTCTGCAGCTAAAGATTATTTTTGGTATTAAATATTTATTATGTAGTAAGAAAACAAAGTGGTCACATGAACAGAGTTCTCAATTATTTTAACTCCATTGGCCCCCAAACAGGATGGGGTCAGAATATTTTATAAATTCATAAAACCATTACATAAGCTCCACCATAATTTTTTACTTTACTTTCTACTGATGGTCTGTTTATGTCAGTGATTCCTAATCTTTTATTTTTAAGTTGATAAAAACAAAACAAAAAGACCCTTCCACAAAAGGCAGCACAGTACAACAACAAGATTGCTAGAACCTAGAATGTGTGAAGACCTGGGTTCAGCTCCCGGATTCTGTCCGTGCTCAGACAGGTCCATAAATCTTTCCATCTTTCAAACAATGGAGCTGTACTATATTATGCATGAGATTCCTTCGAGCTCTAAATCTATGATCTAACAAATGGCACTTCTCATTGTGAAACTAAGTATTGCTTGGTTTCCTATTTCATGAACATTTAAGGACCCAAACATATAATGTCCCTCTCTGGGTTTTTCAAGCTCTTAACATGTATGACATGCTCTCTTTGTATGTCTACTATCTACATATAAGATTCTTCTAAAATAACAGCAGGATAAAATAACTTAATGAGCCTTCCAATGTGAGCTTGAAATAACAGCAGAGAGCACCAAGTTCTACTAGTCTTTAGTATTTTTGTCGAAGAAAAAGAGGAAGGAGAAAGAGGAGGCAGATGTATATATTAACCATAATATGCAATAAATATCATGTAAGAATTAACAATGACCTGAGATCCTGAAACTTCCTAACACACAAAGAGCACCCCACTGAAGAAAGATGTGAGACACACAGAGTAGTCGCTACATCAAATTTAAACATTAACCAAGGGACATCTATGTCAACTTGTATTTTTTTTTAAAATGTTCAACCTTTTTTTTAACCTTTTTTCTTTGAATTTTTTGGTACTTTTTTCACTTGTGGATTTGAGAAAACTAATCCTGAGTAAATAAATGTTATAAACTAAGTATTTTTTTCCTTTTCATTTTAGACATTTCTTTCAAATACCTATACAGAAAAATTATTTTAGAAAAGTCCCTGATATTAACTGCTTTCCAAAAAAATTTAAAAGACAAAAAGTAACATTAAAACCATAGAAAAAGATCCAACTTAACATAGGTATTTGAACATTAGTTTTCAAAAAAAGATAAATATGCAAAACTGTAGAGGTGGGGAGAGAGGGAGAGGGAGAGAGGGGGAGGGGGAGGGGGAGGGAGAGAGAGAGAGAGAGAGAGAGAGAAATCAGAGTGTCAAAGAAAAATAGAGATGGTCAAAGAAGAACAGTAAGTTTGGTTTAGCAAAAGAGCATCAGACTTGAAGTCTAAAGAACTGATTCTCAGGTTCAGGCTGCAGCATTTAATAGCTGTGTGACCACAGGGCAAGAAGCTAACTTAAAATCTCTGAGCTTCAATTTCTTGATGTGTAAAATGGGGAAACACACATTCTACATAGACTGAATAGTCCAATGGATTTCAAACAACATACACAAAATGCCTCGTAATCACAAAGCACTAAATAAATTAAACAATTACCATTACTGGGGAAAAGGGGGAGGGGAGAGAGTATCTTTATCTTTACTCTAAAGAGTAAACAAAATGCTTTAAGAAAGTATGTGCTATGGTTAACTATTTTATGGTTGATCAGAAAACTTCAAATTTTAATCCTTATTGTTAAAAAAAACCTTTAAAAATTATATAAATATATTCGTTGCTTTATCTTCATGAGTTTCTTTTCTTACTAGGAAAAACAGCAATAGTAGGAAAGAACATAAGGACGAGTCTATAAGGAAGAAGAGCTGTTTTACTATGGAGAAAGGGCTTTGTAAACCCCAGGAATGGAAGGAGGAAACAGCCTCTGGTTTACCCAAGAAAAGTCACTCCTTCTACAACGTAAATCAGCACCTTGTATGCAATCTAATTTTAGATAAGCCAAGAGCTCTGAGAAGTCAGGTAACCTGCTTAAGGCCCCAAAGTCCGCACATGGGAGGCTAAACTTGAAACCAGGCTCTTCTGACGCCAAGACTCTCTATCCATTGGGCCACACTTGCTTCTCCTGAAATGTGAATGTTTTGTGTAAGTTCTAATATGAGGTATTATTGAGGACTGTCTCTGGAATAGTGGATAAAGTGCTAGAAATCCCAGGTTCAGAGCCTGCTTCACACTCATAACTAACTACGTGACACTGAGCAAGTTATTCAACCTTTCTGAGACTGTTTTCTCACTCTGTAAAATGGAGATAATAGTAGCACCTACTTCACAGGGTAGTTTTGAGTGTCAAGCAAGAAAATATGTTTGCAAAGGTTTTTCACGCTCTTTAAACCCTAAAACATAATACAAATAAATGTAGACTTATCACTGGCCTTCTTGCAGTGATAAATAATCTAGAATTGTTGCGTTTGACCCTGTGGACCATAGCAAGCCAATACTGTCCATGGGGTTTTTTCTTGGCAAGGATACTGGACAGGTTTGCCATTTCTTTCTCCAGTGGATTAACACAGAGATTAAGTGGTCAGCTAGTAAGTGTCTGAGGCCAATTATCAAATCTTGTTGACTCTACTTTCACAAAATCTCTAATACATCCCTTGCTTGCCTCCTAATGGAACTTCCTGTTTTCAGTCTACATCTTCCTTATACTTTCCTCCAAACAGGTGCCAAGTTGATATGCCTAAAGCCCAGGGCTGACCTAAGTTACATTCAACTTAAGAAGCTCCAGTGACTCCCTCTTTTTTCTAGAATAAGACATGAACTTGCCATGAATAAGGCATGATTTGTTGGAAAAAATCTTTCACAATCTGGGTCCAATCTATGTTTCCGGACTGAATCCATTTTTGTGCACTTTACATTGCAGACAAACTAGTTGATTTGCTGTTCCCTGCACAGAACATTCCATCTCCAGGCTGTCTCCTCATGCCTGGACACAGCTTCCTCTTCACCTTGGCGTCACAGCCTCCTTCAAAGTTTAGCTAATGTCACCTTCTATAAGAGGCCCCGGGGCTAGTCCTCCCCTCCCAAATATCTTTGTGTACATATTTTCTATGTAATTATCTGTAAGCTTATCAGTATATAAATCTCCCAATAGAACATAAGCTCCTTTAGAACAGGGACTTTTTGTCTTTTCACTCCCAATGCCTAACGAAGTGCTTGGCCTGTAGACTGGAACTGTCATTTCACTTGGTCTAGTGAACTCTCAGTAAAGAAATTGCCTTTACCAATGCTGGCCTGTAACTTAAGAGAACTGACCAGGATAATGAGAAGTTAAATCACTTCCCCAAGGTCACAAAGCCAGTATGTGTCAGAAGCAGGACTTGAACCAGGTTTTTCTGATTCAAATCCAGCTGTCTAACTTATCACTAAGGAGATAAATCACCTGCTTTGCAAATGATAAATCTTGCCTGGCACATCAAACATCTAGCAAATGTTTACTGAATAAAATGATGAAAAATTAACATTATTAACAAAATTAACAATACATTGTGGACACTGTACAAAAAGGTCCATTAAAAGATTTAGCAGGTAAACATATTTCTAAATCTACCCTCAATGAGTTGCAGAAAAATTAATCTCTATACCTATAATAAGTATGTTCTGCCATGACTGATGGTGTCCAAGTTTAGAGACTTACATTTTCTAAAACTCTGGAGTAATTGTACAAACACAGCTTGTTTTACTCGAGATGATCTTTTGAAAAGTTGTAGAAAGTGAAGAGTTTTGCTTTATTTTTGTGGATTGAGTTCAGTAAGTCCTTTTTGGAACTTGAACCTGTGTTATATGGCCAGAATGCTAACATTTATTTAGTTTTCCTAAAATATGACAGTGAAAATCAAAATGATTTTCACATTGTCTTTCCCCAATACCCAGTCTATAGTACAAAATAATCCAGGTCAAAAGCAGGAGTCCTGACCCAATCATGTGAAAACCTCCGCCTGATTCCTTAGAAGTGACTTGGAAATAAAAGATTCTCAAATAGTTCTAACTCATAATATTAAGATTCTCTCCTCTTTAGTGACAAGTTAGTGTGCAATCCAAACAAATACATGAGGAAACACTTCTGTTAAAAAAAAAAGTTTGGGGTAGTTAGGTGGCGCAGTGGATAGAGCACCCGCCCTAGAGTCAGGAGGCCCTGAGTTCAAATCTGACCCCAGACACTGGATACTTACTAGCTGTGTGACTCTGGGCAAGTCACTTAAACGTAAAATTAGTTTAAGTCTATTTAGATTATATCCAAAATTGCAAATGGCTACACTATTAGAATAGTGTTATGTGGACAATTTATTCCATTTAAATGGCCAATAAGGAATAAAAATCACATATTCCCTTATGATTTAGTTCCAAAGTTAACACTTTAAAGTAAAACTTCTGTGTGATCATTTTAAGCACTTGAACGATGAAATAATCCACATCCTCAAAATGTACTACATCTTTCCTTGTAACAACAGAAATTCAATATTCACTGACAAATAATAGTACCATACCTCCCCACCCCCAAAATGTTTGATACTAAATTTTCTTAAAAGGTCATTTGGAATCAAGGATACCTAAAAGTGTTCAAAATGAAAAGGCATCCAATCCAAATCTTTCCCCAATCTCCTCTTTCATCTTTTCAACCCTATCAAAAGCCCACCCCCCACCCCAGGGCAACTCACTCCCTATTTTAAATAACCACCTTCTCGAGGCACTGCTCCCTAGGAAAATGACATCACCATTAATGGAGCTTCAAGAGCCAAACACAAATGTTAAGATTACCTAGCTTTCTTGATGGATTATGGATTGATTAACAGTAACATTAGTGAATTGGTTGGAAACAATGTAACAGAAAAAATTTTCCTACCATAAATCTGTCTTAAAAAATGGACAGTAACAACAATCTCAAAAAGCGAACAAGGCAGAAGGCAGATAAATAAATTGTATATTGTAACTTACCCACAGTGGCTCTGATTAAAGGGGAGGAGTCACCAATATTATTCAGACATTCACTCTTAATAAAATCTGTTACTCCATTTGGAAAGTTGTGAAAGTGTGCTTTCACATTATTCTTCAGAATGAGACCACTCAAAGACCTTGTGGGTTCATCTGCAATAAAAGTCAACACTGCTTTGAACTTTTAAGTAGTTTACACATCAAAAAACATTACAAGAATTTTAATCTTTTGAGTTGATTTAAGGAGAAAAAAAAGAATCACAGCACATTATTAGTCTTGCATTATGACCGAGACTAGGAAAAAACACTTTCATAGTCTCAAGAGCTAGTTCCAACATTTAGGCTGATGAGGAAAGAAACAAATCTTGCTGATAAAGTTAGTACGTTTGTATAATAACCATTCCATGAACAGTCACCATCATGATTTTAATGACAATTTGCTTTTAAACCCCCCCCCACTAAAATATATCCAAACTGACCAATCTTGCTCACTATGGAACACATGATTAAACACTTTCTTCCTTAGGAAAAAAGTGAGGGACAATATATACAGAATGTTGGATAAACTGTCAAATTAGCTGCAGTATAAAATGGTTAACTCTTTTTTATTACAAGAGGAGACTGGTTCATGGTAGGGAGGGTTTGATGACACACAAAAGAGCTAGGAAATGGTGTTTTTAAAAGCATCAATATTAAAAAAAATACTTAATTCTTAATTATGAACTCTTAATTATATCATATCTATTTATATAACTAAATACTTACGTGTCTAGAATTGCAAATGAAAAGATTTTCTTTATAAAATGCCCATTACATTGACATTTAGCAAACTATAAGCTCACCCTCAGCAAAATAAGAGTTAAATAGGTAAAATAAAATACATATCCACTTCAAGTTTGCAAAACAACCTTTTATGTTTATAAAAGTCAGAACCTTAGACTGAAAACTAAAGCAGATTTTTAAAGTAGTTACACCAGGTGGCCAGAATTTTTATTGATAATTTGTCTTTGGCTCTATCACGTGAAAGATTCATATTCCAAAACATTAGAATTATATCTTCTCTGTTGTTTAGGTCACCTATGACTATCATTCATACACCAACACTATGAACAGCAATAAGGTCTCTCGAAATTAAATACCACATGAAACAAATGCTTCACATACCCTAGTAAGGTAATAGGAAGTAAAATTTCTAGGTTCATTTGAGTCCAGTCCTAAACCCCTGATTCAACTTAGGACTCAAATGATCCTTTAAAACGTAAGATGGATAGAGAGAGGTAAACAGCTATCAAGCTATTCCTGAATTCCTCTTTTGGGATATTCATTCCCCCATGAGAAATAGCGTCTATCAATGAAATTCCTCAAGGAAATTATTTAAGGCCATCTTAATCCCAACTACAACACACACATTTGATGGACAAACACTTTCTCATCCTCTGTCCCCTATGACTTTCTACAGCAACCATGAAACCAATCTTCCAAGTTTCTAAGAGCAAAATATTTAACTTCTTTAGGTGACAACTCATTTTCCAAGACTTTCAGGGTACCTTTTAGCAGTTTCAGCACTCTTACTTTTAATGAAATTTGTCTGTATTTTTGTGAAAGCTAGGAGATAAAATTTCACAAGCCTGCCTAATTATATACAAAAAATTATGAACAGGTTAATGGGAAAATGTCTTCAACTAATATTTAAAACGGAATGGAATTGGCAATACGTTTCTCATATGTATAAATCTGAATTTATTATACAAAACTCCCAAATAAGGAAACTTTTACGAAACATTAACAGAGAACATCCTGGAAAGCTTAAGGTAAAAGGAAGCCTTCTCAAACTTTCCCATCTTTTCGTATGTTTGTAAAGGAAAAAAAAAAAAAAGCATTATCTACCTTCCAAATTACAATCCATAATCTTAAAAAAACCTTTTAATTATTTCCACTTACCTTCAGATTTTAATTTTGTAAGAACAAAAATCAGGTAGTTGTTAAAATCAGGATACTGGTTGAGTTGTTCCAGTTTCTATAACAAATGTAGTTAAGAAAACTTTTCAAGATAATCTGAGAGAGAGTAATTTTTATACAAAAAAAATCAAACACTCAATGTTTTCAGCTTCTTGTTTTCATCAGGATTAAGATTTCTTTATTAAATCTGACACTACTGCTTACAGTTGATTCAACTGTTTAGACTATTAATAAGAAGCTTAAGAAAAAGGTACCAAAATAACTTAGAACTCAAGATCATGAAATCGGTGTAAAGTGTTTTTAAATGTCTTAATTTATCCATAAATCTTTAATAGTCTTGCATATAACTTGGTTCTTAATCATTCAATCCTGTTTGATAATCAATTTTCTCCTCTCTATAGTCAAATTTGTCCTTCCCAAAGCAGAAATATTCACAATTCATGGTATCTTATCAATGATAATTTAACCACAACAGTTCTACAAGTGTCCCTACCCCCTAAGATTTATCATATTGATTCATATTTGCAGGTATTTCACTGATAACTGTGGGTAACAGTGACATAATGTTCCACCAAATTTTCCTTGCTCCCTGATTCTCAAACTGCTCATTTACATCCAAACTGAATTTCACCGAAAAGTGCCACTACAAAAAGTATCAGCCAGAATATGTACAAAATGATGTGGACGCTTTACTAATTTCTGCTTAAATCTGACACAAACTACAGTTACGAATATTTGTTGCTTATTAAATGAAGCCCTCTCAGTGCTAAATGGATCACATAAAATTTAACAAGCGTAAAACAGTATTTGAGAAGAGGACACAACGAACAAATCTGAAAATGTGCAAAATCTTCCTTTTCCCAACAGACAGAAAGGCAAAATGTGGATTCTAGAACCTTTAACAACTGACAGATTCATTTCAGAGAATTCAGCAATGGTTTAACAGAATAAAAGTAAACTTGAACACCTCAAGTTGAACTCCCTAATTTTTATTTGCCATATATATAACATTTCATTGATAAGCACATTTTCTTACAATGTAATGAATAATTCCATAATACTAAAATTTCTCTTAATTCCACTACGTTATTTTTAAATAATTAAAAGCCAAATGGTATCACTCTTTCCCAAGGAGCACAAGCAGAGGACAGAGCAATAAGCCATTACTTTGAAATAAAGAAATTCTCACCTCTAGTTAATGACCTGAATTCATTTTTTGTTGTAGAAGAGACAAATTATACAAAATTTATACACCGAGATAACCTGAATAAAGTTTTCACAAGTTTCAAGCATTTTGACCTTCCTAATAAGCAATCCAATTTTTTAAACCTTATGAAATACTATTTGATCAAACAGAAAGCAAAAATCCTAACCTTGTTTTCCTCATTTGGAGGTTTCACGTTAGGTAATTGATTTTTACCATACGACAAGACTGCGTTATACCATACTACATGATATTTTTATGATTCACTGACATAGACAATCCAGGTAGTAATTTGAAAACTTCACTAGCAATCTATAATCCTTTTCCTTTTCAAGATCCCAAGAGGCTGTTAGCTATGACATCATAAGAGGGTGTTATGCCACAGTCATGGAACTCAGCAGAACTGAAAACTCAAAACTGGCTGTGGGATCAAATAAATACTCCTCTTGCTATTTGCAGCTTTCTAAAAGAATTACCTTTAAGATGTTGCAATTAAAAAAAAATCTTTAAATGAACACTTTTGAATAAATCCTATCAATTTCACTAAGAAACATGTAAAACATATTTGCCCACAGTTTAGTTAACTTAATAAGCTCCAGCCAGAAAATATCATCTGGCTATATACGCTTCCCACACATCAAGGAATAAAATTTGACTGCAACTTCCCTCATTTATGTCATTCTATTAAATATCAACTAATTATATGCACTTCCCACCTATCAAGGAATAAAAGTTGACGTAACTTCCCTCATTTATGTCGTTTCTATTAAAGCGTTATAAATTTAAAGACTCCAAAAGACTATATTTGAAAGCATCGCACGAGAATAAATTTTAAAAGCAACTCCACGCTGTCTGTGTAGAAAAATCTTTTATCTATTTCATTATGTGTTTGGGATTGTACTTCTGCAAAAGGTCAAGCGAAGCAGAGATTTAAAAAAACAAAACAACAACAACCCCCCGCCCCCCAGTGCTTTGGGCCAGAATCCGTAATGGGAAAGTTGTATCTTGACTCTCGGATGATCTCTTGGGGGGATGTGCGTTTGGGGGGGAACGTGTAAAGAGGAAGGAGTGCTCCTTTCCCCCCATTTGGGACATGGCTGAACCACACGTTTAAAAGGGTTTGCTTCCTCTTTCTCCCCCGAGCTTTCCCCAGCCCCCCTGAAACCCGAGCGCTCCCCGCCCCCCCTGCCCCGGGGTCGCCAGTCCAGCGGGAGCCAAGGCTTTAAAAAGAAAACCCCAGCTCGGATCCAGGCGGCAACAGGTGCTGCGCCGCCCGCCACGGGGCGGGGTGAGGCCCGGCCGAGTCCCCCCTCCCGTGCCCAGACCCGGCGGGCCGGAGCAGAAGCGAGCCCCCGGACCGAACAGAGCCCCACGCGAGGCTGCTCCAGCAGCTCCATGGCGGGCGGGAGGCGGCCTCGCGCCTCCCTCCTCTTCGGGCCCCCGCCCCCACCCCGGCCCCGGCCCGGCCCGGGCCGCCGAGGCGAGGCTCATTGTGTAGGCCCCGGCCGCCAGCGGGGAGGCCGCCCGGGCCCCCGCCGGGGCTCCAGCCCTCCCGCGGTCCGCCCGGCCCCGAGCACATGAAGCCCCGAGGCCGCCGCCCGCCCCGGCCGGAAGCCGGCGCCCCTCCGCGAGCCCGAGAGCTCGTGGCACGCCTCTCCCCGCGCGCCAAGCCCGGGACCGGGAATGGGGCGGGGGCAGAAGGCCGAAGCGGGAGGAAGGCGCCCGCTCGCCGCTCCCTCCGCCACCCGCCCAGGGGCCCGGGCCTCCAGAGGGGCGATGCGGCGCGAGCTCCAGGCCAGCCCCGCCGCGGCCGACGCATGGGGCGGGGTGGGGGAAGGGGAGCGGAGCCGGAGCCGAGCGGGCCGGGAAGCGCGGGGGACTCCGCGGCGGGAACGGCGGCGGCGAGGCCCGCGGAAAGGATACTTGTTGCACGGTTCTCTGGGTGGAGGTGTCCGGGGACTGGGACTCTTTGAGCAGCTGCAGGATTTGCTGAAGCCCTTGCTCGTCGGGTTTCCACTCATACTCCATCTTGGTTCGCTGCAAATAAAGCCAGACACAGGAAGAGACGGAGCCAATGTTAACTCTCCGTGCACAGGCCCCAGAGCCGCCCGCCCCGGGGCAGCCCCCCCCCCAAGCCCGCCGCCCCGCAGCACCACCCCCCCCCGGGACCTGCCTGGGCTGCAGGGTTTGGAGCCTTTGGACCGGGAGAGCGAGCCTAACAGTTGCCAGCAGCAGGGCCGCCAAGGTCTGCTGCTGCTGCTCCTGCTGCTGCTGCTTCTGCTGCTGCTGTTGCTGTGTGCACGGAGCCGACCAGACTGAGTCACGGCGAATTTGCAATCTGGCCCTAAGATCCGCTCCGAGGATCCCCCTGGGTCCTAATGCCACCCTGCTTCCTCGGCCGAACCCCGCAGCTCGTCCCGGGTGCAGAGCACAGCCTCTTTCCGCTAGCAATTTAACCCTAAGGGAAACTAACCGATTTAAAAAACAAACAAAAACAAAAACAAAAACAGAGAACTGAATTTAAAAGTCAACTCCAAAAACGATTTAAGAAAAAAAGCGTCTCTTCTGATGGCTCAGTGTTTTGCCTAGTAGCCACTTGGTCAAAACACTGAAATAGTGGACACTTGAACTCAATAGCCAAAAAAAGAAATCCTCTAACGGGGAGCAAGCAGTAATTTGTGAAGCTCTAGGGACACACACACACACACACACACACATCTACAACATTATGAACTGTATACATTGAACATTAGGGTTTTTTTTCAATTTTTCTAAAAAAGATAAATAATTTTCTACATTAACAAAATTGCAACACACCTGCATCAACCTTATGGGGAATTTCATGAAATGTCACTGAAAATTTATGTTGCTCCTGTTTCACTCTTCGAATTTTGAACTGGTCATAATGATGCACTTGGGCTTCTGAGCATGAACGCTAAGCACCAATAATAATTTACATTTAGATGGCACTTTATTGAAGTTTTTCGAGCGATTTTCACACGAACATTTTTGGGGCGTGTTCTTACAAAACAATGAGGAAGACGCGTCTGGTTTTGTGGGGGATTTTTTAAGCTTTTGATGAATGAGGCAACTGAGGCTGGGAAAAAGTTAAGCGACTTGCCTAAGGCCACAAAACTAATTAGTGACAAGATTAGTTCTAAATTTATCACTTTGGGTTTCCTATCTATAGCAATCAGCAATCTCCCTTCGATACAATGACTTGGATTAGTGTAGTAGCAAATGGGTGTCATTAAACTAAACACTCAAATATGAGCCAAAATTATTGATGTAAACATGCATTATGTTGATAACTATAATTTAAAATCAAATTTTGAGTCTAGGTCCACCGAGTTTGGCCCCAAAGAAGAGATGTAAGAGGAGACCACTTCCTTTCTATTGGTGGGAGCTCACTAATGTGCAACATTTCGTATGATGCTAGATTTTTTTGTTGTTGATTATGTTTGCTGACTTTTTTATTCCTCTTTTTTAAAACTTATTTGTTTTAAGGGAGAGATTTCTGGGAAAGAAAGGGCAAAGGGGATAAGGATACAGGGTAAAAAGTAGGTGATGTAAAAACAAGCTGAGGAATATTTGGCTCCCTCTGATTTTAGAACCCTAATGCCTCTTGAGCTAGGGAGGGACACGGTCAGACCAGTCAGTCCTTTCTGAAAATTATTTTTGGTAGCTATGTGAAGGATAGATTGAATAAGGGAAAAGACTGGAACCAGGGAGACCAATTAGGAAGATACTGCTGTAGTCCAGGCAAGTTTGGTGATGAAATAGCAATAAGAAAATCTATTTTTAAAAAAGAGAAATCAAATTAGAAAAGGTCCAGAATTTGGTTGGCATAGATCATAGCAAATCCATGGAGTCTGGGCACTTTGTGTGACCTTACTTTGCTCATCTATAAAAATGAAGATGGTTGGACCTTCTCCCCACTCACCAAAGTCGTAGTTAGGATATACTTGTTATCTCAATGGTATAGGGAACACCAGAACAAAGAAATCCTTCTACCAAGGTTGGTTGGCACCTTCTCTGCAAATTGAAGTCTCAGAGAATCACCTTGAGCACTGAGAGTCACACAACCAGTATGTGACTGAGATAAGCCTTGGACCAGGGTCCTGTGGTTCCACTGCCAGTTCTATAGCCATTGGGCCAGGTTGGCATGCTTAAAGTAATAGTTCTATTTTCTAAAGTGTTATGACTTAAAGACAAAGTTCTTCCTCTGTTGGGGGTTTAAAAAAAATCAACCACAACAAACTTTAATTTGACTATACTGCTCTCTCTGGCTGTCATCCTTTTTTCTTTACTTTTTTTTTCTTGCCAAAAGGCAACCCTCACTTCTACTGATTCACCCACCTTCTTCATTAACTCTTTTTGTTACCTAACTATATGGCCTTTGCCCTTATTAGTCTAGTGAAACTGGTCTTTCTAAGGTTATCAATAACTTCCTTATCACCAAACTCAGTGGCTATTTCTTTGTCATAATTTCACATTGCATTTCACTCTTGACTAGGGGGCCATCTTGAAATTCTGTCATCCATGGACCTCTGTGATGCTATATTGTTTCTCCTTCCACTTCTCTGGCTGGTTTCTCTTCCTCCATTCCCCCCCCCCCCCCCCAATAAATGTGGTCATTTGACAAAGTTCATTCCTTTCCCCTCTTTTTCTATATTTCCTTCCTTGAAGATCACAAATATTTATGGCTTCAAATATCCTCTTCCCGAAGACGACCACACCAAATCCATCATCTCTAGTCCTGACCTTTTCTCCTGAGCACTAGAATGAAGCTTAGAAATCCCAACTACCATTCTATGGCCTCCTGGCTCCTCATGCCTATAACCAGATATTTCTCCCCAAACTCTGTGCAATCCTCATTGTGCTAATTGTATTGTCATTCTTCCTGTCACGCATACTTGATACCTCTAAGAAATTTCTGACTCCTTCTCCCTTGACCTGTAATATCCAATTAATCACTAAGTTCTATTTTCCTTTCAAAATATCTCTTGAATTTATTCTTTTTATATTGCCTCTACTACAACTATAGTTCAGATCCTTATCATCATCACACCTAGAAAAGTATTTCTCCTTTTCTCTATCCCCTTTCACCCTTTCTCTCCCTCTTTCTACCCCATTCCTTCCTTTTCTCTCTCCCCCTTCCTCCTTTTTCTCTCTCCTCCCTCCCTCTTTCCCCTTCCTCTTTTTTCTCTCTCCTCCTCTCTCCCTCTTCTTCCTTTCCCACTTCTCTCTATCCTTCTCTCTCCCCCTTCCCTCCCTCTCTCCATCCTTCTCTCTCTCTTTCCCTCTCCTCCTTTTCCCTCTCTGTCTCTCCCCCCTTTCCCTCTCTCTCCCTCTTTCTGTCTATTTATGCTCTGTGTGTTTGTGTGTGTGTGTGTTATAGACAAGGACAAATACAGACAGGAGAGGGAGAGAGACGGAGACAGACTCCCTCCCAATTCCTCTCACTAACAGCCCTTAATCTTCATACAACAGTGCTTTGACCATTTTATTCCCCTGTGCTCTCACTTTTCATGGCTTCAGAGGCTTCCATTCTTTACTGCCAAGGCTCCATGCTTTGGGTGGGACATAAGCTGGAGACTGTTAAGAGAAGAGCAACTAAGATGACGAAGAGTCTGGAGCTCATGCCACATGAGAACTGGTTAAAGGAACTGAGGTTTAGACAGAATAGATTAGCAGTTGTCTTCTAGCCTCTAAAGGGCCATCATATGGAAAAGATATCACACTTGTTCTGCTTGGCCCCTGAAGGCAGAACTACAAGCAATGAGTAGAGATGTGAAGAAAAGCTTTTTAACAATGAGATCCATCTAAAAAAGGGATGGCCTTACTCTGGTGGTGGTGCTGGATTCTTTGTCAGACACTAGGTGGACTAGATGCTCAAGATCCATTCCAACTTAAATCCTGTAACTATCATTACATAAAATAGAAAATTACTCCCTGTTTCAATAGACAGACATGTCTGTATTAAGTTAATCTGTTTAATACCACATTCTCCATTTCTTTAAATTTAGAACATTATTACTAATCAAAAGGTTTGTTGGGTTATTTTTACATGTGAAAAAATCAAACCAAAACCTCTTTCCTCTGATAAGTGATGACGAGTTCAAATCATACCTAAAATCCAGGTGCAATGGTTATTGGGCAAGCCGGAAAGACTGTCACTCAACTGTGACAATCATTGGTAGAGTAATCCTTTGAAGGAATAGTTTGTCTTACTGGCTAGAAAAAGACTGTCATAAATAATAATAATAATAAAAAGGAAGTACTAGGTATAACAATAAGAATATCTGGCCTTTGAAAAGTTTAGTCTTGAGCTTCCGGAAACACAGAAACTTAAATTTCTACAATCAATTTCAAATGGACTGAACGTGTGCCATATTTTGCTCTGGTGGGGAACAGCACATTATATGTTGATTTTTCCTTTAAAATCCTTCTTGAATTAATCCTTTCCATTCCTGTCTGTCCCAACTATAGTTAAGGTCCTTATCACCATTCAAAATATGAATCCCCTGGTACCTAATCTAGTGTTTAGTGACTGACTGACTAGCCCCTCTAAAGTTAGAAAAGTTGGTCAATAGTCAGCCAATAAATTTTTATTAAGCCCTCACTATGTGTCAGGTATTATGCTATATACTGAGGATACTAAGAAAGGTAAAAGACAGTCCCTGATCTCAAGGAGCTCATAGTCTATCAACATGCAAACAACTTTGTACAAACAAACTTTGAACATGATAAACTGGAGATAATCAACAGAGAGAAAACTTTAGCATTAGGGGAACTGGGAAAGGCTTCCTGTAGAAGGTGGGAAAATTTAGCTGGGTCTTGAAGGAAGTCAGAAAATCCATGAGGCAGAGATGAGGAAGGAGAGCAGTCCAGGCAGGGGGTACAATCAGTGAAAAAGCTCATGTCCAGATATGGAGATTCTTGTTGGGAGGAACAATGGATTGAAGTGTACTTGGGAAGGGTAAGGGGGTAAAGATGTAAGATTGCAAAGGTTGGGGTGGGAGTAAAGGGGGGAATACCAGAAGACTTTATAATTGATCCTGGAGGTGACAGAAAGCCACTGGAATCTACTGAGTTGGGGAGGGCAGGTAAGATGTTTTTTTTCTTTCTTTCTTTTTTTTCCCTCTTCCCCTTTCCCTATCTTCGTTTCCATTTCCTGCTTTCTTTAAATCTCCTTCCTTCATCCTTCCTTCCTCTTTCTCTCTTTGTCTCCCCTTTCTCACCTTTTCTTCCTTCCTTCCTTTCCATCATAGTAAAACGTATCAAAGTTTACAAGCTGCTAACATACCTTTTAAAAGCATAG